TTGCCATTTTATTGTTTATAGTTTTTATCTTCTTTTTCTTAAAAAACAAACATTTGATGTTTAACATTGAACATTTCATATACTAATGGTTTGGTAATGATGAACTCCTTTAGTTTTTTCTCATCTGGGAAGCTCTATATCTGCCTTTCAATTACAAATGATGTATTAGTAGGTAGAGCAATCCTAGTTCCCTGCTTTTCATGACATTAAATATTTCTTGCCAGTCCATTCTAGCCTGCAAAGTTTCTTTTAAGAAATCAGCTGACAGTCTTGTAGGAACTCCTTTTGTAGGTAACTGTTTTCTTGCTACTTTTAAGATTCTCTTTAATCTGTGGCATTTTAATTATGTGTCTTGGAGTTCGCCTCTTTGCATCCAACTTGTTTGGACTCTGTCCACCTTGTTTGGACTTACATGTCTATTTCCTTCACCAAATTAGGGAAGTTGTCTTTCATTATTCTTTCAAATAGATTTCCAATTTCTTGCTCTTTCTCTCCTCCTTCCAGCACCCCCATGATGTAAATGTTGGACCACTTAAAGTTGTCCCAGAGGCTGCTTATACTCTCCTCATTTTTTTGGAGTCTTTTTTCTTCTTGTTTGTTTGGTTTTTTTTTTTTTTTTTTGCTTCCTTATGTTCCACATCATTAATTTGATTCTCAGATCTATTCACTCTACTGTTGTTTCCCTGTAAATTGTCCTTTATTTCAGTTAGTGAAAGGATATATTTCAGTTATACTCCTTTGTTTCTGACTGGATCTTTTTTGTGCTGTTGAGATTCTCACTAAATTTTTGAGCAACCTTATCACCAGTGTTTTGACCTCTGCATCTGACAGATTGCATATCTCTACTTCATTTGGCTCTTTTTCTAGAGTTTTGATCTGTTCTTTCATTGGGCCATATTTCTTTGTCTCATTTTGGCAGCCTCCCTACATTTGTTTCTATGTATTAGATAGAGCTTCTTTGACTTGGTATCTTGATAGTGTGGCCTAATGGAGCTGGCCTAGGGCTCAATGAGGCCAACTGTTGCTTGAGAGGATTTGGGAAGTTGTGAAACAGGAGGCAGAGTCCCAGGGATCTCCAGTGCCACTGGGAGGCAAACAGTGTTAGCCAGGTGGATGGAGTCTTAGATATGGCATCAGCTTGCCTGCTCTGTGGAGGGAGGGTTCAGAAAAGGAACACTGGCCTCTGCTTTCCTTGTTGCTAGAAACTTCAGTTCCTCCCTATGTGTACCACTGGTTCCTTTCAACCTACTAGGTCCTAGAGCTCAGAAGGAGTGAGTCTGAGTAGGTGAATCCATGTGTGAGTTTTTTAAGAGAATCTGCTTGAGAGTCCATCAGTTTTTTCCAGCGATTCAATCCTCGCTGGTTTTTGCAGCCAGAATATGTGGTGCCTTATCTTCCTGGCACTGGATCCCTGGGCTGAGGGGCCTGGTATGGGGCTGGGATTCCTCACTCCTGAGGTATTCCTCCCAAATTTTTATCCACCACATGTGGTGTGAAACCAGCCCATTCTGTGTCTCTGCTCCTCCTACCAGACTAGACGGATGTGGTTTCATTAATTGTGTAGTTGTCAGACTTCCATTCAACTCTGTTTCTTCCAGTTCTGTGATGATTGTTCTATGTTTTAGTTGTAATTTTGATGTGGTTGTGGGAGGAGCTGAGCCATGTCTGCCTATGCTGCCATCTTTACTGGGAGTTCATTTTTTCACTTTTTGACAGTGCCTTTGAAACACGAAAGTTTTAAATTGTGGTGAAGTCCAATTTATCTTTTTTTAAATATTTTATTTATTTATCTTTAGAGGGTAAAGGAAGGAGAGGGGGAGAGAAATATCAATGTATGATTGCCTCTAGTGCATTCCCTGCTGGGAACTGACCTGCAACCCAGGCATGTGCCCTGACTGGAAATCAAACCACAATACTCTGCTTCACAGGCCCACGCTCAATCCACTGACCTACACCAGCCAGGACCAATTTATCTTTTTTTTTTCTTTTGTTGCTTGTTCTTTAATTTTTATATCTAAAAATTATTTGCAAGACCCAAGGTCATGAAGATTTATTAATTTGTTTTCTTCTAGAAGTTTTATAGTTCTTGATCTTACATTTAACTTGTCGATCTATTTTGAGTTAATTTTTTAATATATTATGTAAAGTAGAGGACAAACTTCATTCTTTTACATATAACTATCCAGTTGAACCAGTGCCATCTGTATTCTTTCCTCATTGGAGGCTGTTGGCACCCTTGCCAAAAATCAGTTGACAATAACCCTGAAAGAGTAGCTCAGTTGGTTGAGCCATATCCTGAATAGTGAGAGGTTGCTGGTTCAATTTCTGGTCAGGGCACATGCCTGGGTTGCCCGGCCCTGGTGAACACCTAAGGTTCTGCCCCTCACTATATAACAGGCATCACAAGACAAGAAAAAAATGGCTGAAATAGAAAAATAGATCAAAGCTCCACAGCAAATACACCTAAGCAATGAACAGATAGCCAACTTATCGGATGCACAATTCAAAACACTGGTGATCAGAATGTTCACAGAACTGGTTGATTTTAGTCACAAATTAGATGAAAAAATGAAGGCTGCACTAAGTGAAATGAAGCAAAATGTACAGGGAACCAACAGTGATGGAAAGGAAACTGGGACTCAAATCAATGGAGTGGACCAGAAGGAAGAAAGAAACATCCGACCAGAAAAGAAGGAAGAAATAAGAATTTCAAAAATATGAGGAGAGGCTTAGGAACTTCCAGGACATCTTTAAATGTCTTAACATTTGAGTTATGGAGGTACCAGAACAGGAAGAGGAAGAGCAACAAGTGGAAAACTTATTTAAACAAATGATAAAGGAGGACTTCCCCAATCTGGCAAAGGAAATAGACTTCCAGGAAGTCCAGGAAGCTCAGAGAGTCCCAAAGAAGTTGGACCCAAGGAGGAACACACAAAGGCACATCATCATTACATTAGCCAAGATTAAAATGAAGGAGAGAATCCTAGAAGCAGCAAGAGATAAGGAGACTGTCACCTACAAAGGAGTTCGCATCAGACTGTCAGCTGATTTCTCAAGAGACCTTACAGGCAAGAAAGGGCTGGAAAGAAGTATTCCAAGCCATGAAGGGCAAGGACCTACAACCAAGATTGCTCTATCCAGCAAAGCTTTCATTTAGAATGGAAGGGCAGATAAAGTGCTTCTCAGATAAGGTCAAGTTCAAGGAGTTCATCATCACCAAGCCCTTAGTATATGAAATGTTAAAGAGACTTATCTAAGAAAAAGAAGGTAAAAAATATGAACGGTGAAAGGACAGCAAACTCACAGTTACTAACAACCACACCTAAAACAACAGCAAACTAAGAGGATAGCTAGATCAGAAGCAGAACCATAGAAATGAAGATCACATGGAAGGTTAGCAACAGGGGAGTGAGAGAAGGAGAAGGGGGAGAAGTTACAGCAAATAAGCAGCATAGATGGTAGATAGAAAATAGATAGGGGGAGGGCAAGAACAGTATGGGAAATACAGAATATAAAAAACTTGAGACACGTGGTCATAAACTAAAGGGGGGATGGTGGGCGAGGGGGTGTGCAGGGTGGAGGGGAATGAAGGGGGAAATAGAACAACTGTAATGGCATAATTAATAAAATATATTTAAAAATAAATAAATAAAACAAGAGCAAACTAAGCAGACAGTTAGATCAGGAGCAGAACCATAGAAATGGAGATCACATGGAGGGTTATCAATAGGGGAGTGGGTGGGGAGAGGGGGAGAAGGTACAGAGAATAAGTAGCATAGATGGTAGGTAGAAAATAGCTAGGGGAGAGGGCAAGAATAGTATGGGAAATGTAAAAGAAGCTAAAGAACTTGTGACACATGGACATGAACTGAAGGGGGGAATGGGGGGAGGGGATATGCAGGGTGGAGGGGAATGAACGGGGGAAATGGGACAACTGTAATGGCATAATCGATAAAATATATTCAAAAAACAATTGTTTTACTCTCCCTTTCTCCCTTTCCCTTTCTCTAAAAATAATCATTTTTCTAAAAACAACACTTAACAAAACATGTGTGAGCTTATTTCTGGATTATCAATTCTATTCCATTGATCTGGCATATGTCTATTCTTATATCGGTACTACTCTCTTAGTAACTTAGTAGCTTTGTAGTGAGTTTTCAAAATGGGAAATGGGAATCCTCTTTTCTTTTTAAATATTTTATTTACTTATTTTTAGAGAGAGAGGAAGGGAGGGAGAAGGAGAGAGAAACATTGATCGGTTGCCTTTCTTATGCCCCCAACTTGGGATCAGCCTGCAACCCAGGTATGTGCTCTGACCAAGAATTGAACCGGTGATCTTTTTGGTTGGTAGGCCCTCGATCCACTGAGCAATACTAGCCAAGATTGACTTTGTTATCAATATTATTTTAGTGGTAAGTTTTAATAACTAAAATTGATCACTTCTGGTATGCCTGAAGTACATTGAGTCAGGAATGAGAGCACAGTTAAACATAGTAATTAGGAAAAACAAAAACAAAACAATTTTGTGCTCATACATAGTAAATTAAGACTCTACAACAAACTAGTTATGATAAGTACTCTTAGAATTTGAGAAAAATCTAAGAGAAGAATTTGGACTTAACACAGAATTGGGATGTTCAGGACAGATTTTCCCAGATCTTACAGGGCAAGGGATTCCTGATTTCTGAATTATACATATTTATTTATGTTTTGCCTAGGAAAAAGTCTCCAAATATTTTATGCTTTTATGTGTATGTATATATTGCAAGTCACCTATACTAACTTTATCAGTTTCAAAAGCACTTCAACAAATCATGTTGATTTTATTATTTTTGCAAAATTTCTTTGGTTTCTATATAGTGTTATAGTGTTATTAAGAAAACACACACACACACATATACAAACCAATAACCTTGTTTTATCCTCTCTTGTCTAGGAATAGGACAAAACTGAAGATATACTTGAGGAGATAGCTACAGCTGGACAGGGCCAGTATTCCCATGGATGATTCAAGCTTGTCCAGCCCTGTGGATGTAGACAAAGGCTTTGCCATTGCCTTTGTTGTTCTTCTGTTTCTTTTCCTAATAGTGATGATTTTTCGCTGTGTTAAGTTGGTGAAGAATCCCTATGAGGCCAGTTTCCCAACCACAGAACCATCTTTGAGCTGAATTATGAAAAAGCCTGGTAGACTTCCCCTCACAGAAGATTTAAAACTTTTTATACCATAGATGGACCTCCACGTTTTGTATTAGTTCACCTCCCTAATTCTCAGCTTTCTCACTCTTGCATTCTACAATAGACACATGAGGGTGACTTTAGAATAATAAAAAGATTGAAACTCTGACTGGTTAACATTGTTCCTATTCAAGAAAATAGTTCCAAAAGTGTGGCAAAGACAGGTTAAATTCATTAATTAAAATGTGGCTATGGTGTCAATGATAAATCTAGTAAGAGATTATTATCAAAAATTTATTTAAAAACTCAACACCCACAAAAAAATCTAGTTAAAACATGGGCAGAGAATCTGATACACATTTCTTCAAAGAGGATATACAGATGCCCAATAGACATATGAAAAGATGCTTAATGTCACTAACCATCAGGGAAATGCAAATGAAAAGCACAATAAGATACCATATCGTAACTGTCAGAATGGCTATCATCAGTAAATCAACAAACAAGTTTTGGTGATAATGTGGAAAAAATGGAACCCTCATGCCTTATTGGTGAGATTGCAAATTGGTGAGATTGCACAGGAAACAGTACAGAGGGTCCTCAACAAAATTAAAACTGGAACTATCTTATTACCCAGCAATTCCACTTCTGGGTATTTATTTGAAGAAACCCAAAACACTAATTCAAAAAGAGATATACACCCCTATGTTCATTGCAGCATTATTTGCAGTAGCCAAGATATGGAAGCAACCTAAGTTACCTATAAATAGACAAGTAGGTTTTTAAAAAAATGGTGGGAGACTCCCGCCAAGATGGAGGCATAGGTGGAGACGTCGTGCTTTCTCACACAACCAAGTTTAGAGACAACAAAATATTAGCAATAGAAAACATAACCAGAACACAGAAAATTGAACTTTTCGGAAGTCTCATAACAACGAATGCTTCAGCCTGACCAGTAAGAGGGGCAAAATCAGCAGCTGGCGAAGCAGGGTTGCACAGGAAAACTCAGTCAGATGGACTCAGGCGTGCAGATCCCAGCTGTGGGGTTGCAAAGGGCAGACCCAATGAGCAACCCGCAGATCTGGCGAGGGTGCAGAGCGGCGCATTGACTGTGGTGGCTCATTCCTGAGCAGATAGACCGGCTAGGGAGTAGGCAGTGAGAAAGGACCCAGCAGGCCCTAGAGGCAGGAGGCAGCAGAGAGGGCCGCCATTTCCCCACTCTGACCCGCCCCCACATACAGTTTCACAACCCAGGAACCTTGCCCTGGCGGCCCCAACCCGCTCCCAAGGCTCCACTCCTCATACATAACGGGTTCGAACAGACCAAAAATGGCTCAAGAAGATCTCAAAGCCACAGAGCCCATAACTCTAAGTGACCAAGAAATAGCAAAACTTTCAGATGCACAGTTCAAAACACTGGTGATCAGGATGCTCACAGAACTGGTTGATTTTAGTCACAAATTAGAGGAACATATGAAGGCTAAACTAATTGAAATGAAGGGAATTGCACAGGAAACCAATAGTGATGAAAAGGAACCTGGGTCTCAAATCAATGGAGTGGACCAGAAAGAAGGAAAAATGACCAATCACTGGGTCTGCCCGTTGCTACCCGACACATGGGATCCGCCCACGGCTGCCTGCATGCCTGGATGGGGGGATCTTTTTTGCCCAACCCACTCCAATGCTGGCTCCACCCCTCTTACTGGTATGGCTGATCGGTTCATTGTTGTCGGACTTTTGTATAGTTCAATTTTCTGTCATTTGGCTGTGTTTTTTGTTGCTAAAATTTTGTTGTCTTTAAACTTGGTTGTGTGAGAAGGCACAATGTTTCCACCTACGCCTCATCTTGGCGGAAGTCCCCCCTAGGCCTGTTCTCTTGCGTTAGAACATATCACAAATAAATTTTGCTTACATAGCAAAAAAAAAAAGGAAGAAAAGGGTCTTTGTGGATATAATAAATTTAAGAATCCCAAGTAAATTCATCCTGGATTATCCAAGTGAGCCCTAAATCCAATGACAAGTGTCTTTATAAAAGACGGAAGAACAGAAGACACAGGAAGGCAGAGGAAAAGACCCTGTGAAGATGGAGGCAGAGACTGAAGTCATCCATCCACAGCTAAAGAACCCTTACCTGGAAGGGAAGGGTTCACCAAAGCTGGAAGGCAAGAAAGGACTCTCCCTAGAGCCTTTGGAGGAAGCGCAGCCCTGCCAACACCTTGATTTTGGACTTCTAGCCTTCAGAACTGGGAGAGAATACATTTCTGTTTTTTATAGCCATCTAGTTTATAGTAATTTCTTATGGTAGTCACAAGAAAGTATATATATAGCATATCATTATGATGATGATGATGATAAAAATGCAAAAAATTCTTAGACCCTACCTCGTTCCCCAATCCTTCCTTCCAGAGGTAACTGCTGTTAAGGTAGTTTATTGCACATATGTGTATCTTTACAGACATTTTCTTTTTAACATAATATGTGTGAATAAACTATCTATTTTCCTGTTTCAGAATTCAAAAAGTATAAAATGGTGTACCGTGAAAGTCTTTTCTTGAACTCTGTCCCCCATGCTTCCATTCGCCCGCCCTCTTCAGTGACAGACCGGTGTTACCACAACCGGTGTTCAGTAACCACAATCGGTGTTAATTTCTTATCTCCTTCCACTGATATTTTAAGTATATGTAAGAAAAATGTATATTTCTGCCATCATTTACACAAACAACAGGATGTAAATGAATGTTCTGCACCTGCTTTTCTCACTTCATAATGTGTCTTGAATATCACTTGGCATAAATGCAGAAAGAGCTTCCTTATCCTCTTTTTTTAAAACACAGTTTAAGAATATTCCATTGTTGGGGTGTGCCATAATTTGTTTAACCTGCCCCCTGCTGATAAAAATGGACATTGTTTCTAAATATTTTGCTGTTTCAAACAATGTTGCAGAAGATAAGTTAGCATTTACATCACTTCAAAGGTATGCACATTCAAAGTATGCAATTTCAAAGCTATGTAGTTTAATTCCTAGCAGTCGAGTTGCTGATTGAGAGAGTATTACAGAATTTACACATCTTTTTAATTAGTCATCAACATTTAAAGCTCAGGAATTTCCATATAAAAATATGGATTTTAAGTTTAAGGGAAAATGATGGATCTGGCAACTATCAACTGTAACTATCATGCAGGACAAAAATTAGCTGGAGCTAAGTAGCAACTGCTACCTGTAGGAGGTATTTCCCAGGTCACCATGGTTCTCACCCAACCTATTTTGCTCCTTTACATTGTTTTCCTGATGCCTGAAGCCCTTCAAATTTTTAATTCCTGTCTTTTGATTCTGAGATCACTCAGCAATCTTTAGATTATAATCTAATTCCCTTAAGTCTGTCTGCAGGGAAAGGATCATTTGGCATTCAAAGAGTCTGGCCCCTGTGCTGATATCTCATGGTCAAGTATTAAGTAGCATGGGTTGTGATTTTTCAATGTATCACAGTGTATTATGAAAATGAATGTGCTGAGCACACCGACATGAGTATTCTAAATGGTGTGTCTGTTACTTATTACTTTATATTATTCAACTGGTAATAAGCTATCTACCTCAATAACTTTTAAAGTTTAATAATTGGAGTCATTTACAATAGGGCCTGAATCTCTGACAAGCATTAGTCTTCAGACCTTGACAAAAGCAAAGCCACAGCTTAGCTCCCTAACTATTGAGGCCCTGCTCTAGAAAGGATTACACAGCTCAAATCTACCTTTCCTGTGATGTTTCTGATATTCTAGTGAGCAAATAAATTGCCTGAAGGTCTTATTAAAATTCAGATATTGATTCAGTACATACTTAGCAGGGCCAGTGAGAGATTTAGAATCTCTAACAAGCTCCCTGATTTGAACATGGGGTAGCAAAGTCTTAGCAGACACTTCCTGAGTCCCACTGCTGATTTCTGCCAGTCTTAACTCTTCAGCCTTCTCAGAGCATTGAAGAAAACAGACTGGAATATGATGCCTCAAATAGCTCCTGTTTATCTCAAACATGCTCCATTCCTCACTTCCACACCTAAACCACCTCCACACACATCAGAAAGCTGAAAATTCAACTAATAGAAACACAATCAGAGCAGAGCAATGCTTTCTCCTCATCACACATTACAGAGCACCACATGTACAGGGCAATAAGTCAGGTGTCTGGGGAAACAAAGATGATTAACACAGAATCTCAGCACTGAATTAATAACAACTCAGCAGAGGAGAGAGTGACATACACAGATAACTCAAGTGGAAATGAACTAAATTCATGGAAACACAGAGAAGTTAATTCTGAAGAGGGTGAGTGATGGTCCAGGACAGTGACTCTTAAACTCTGGTCCCAGTACCAGTAGGATGCACATCGCCTGGAAAAATGTTAGCCATGCAAATTTGCAGATCCACCCAGGCCTACTCCACGGGTGGTGTGGGGCAGCACTGTGGTTTAACCAGCCCTCCAAGTGATTCTGATACAGGCTAAAGTTTGACTGCCAGTCTATAAAAACTTAGGGAATTGAAATTTCACCAGACAGAAAGGGAAAGGGCATTCCAGAAAAGAGATCACAATGAACAAAGGTATGCAGATACAAAGTAAAATATATAAATATGCTGGGGAAATAAGACATAATCAGGAGTGTGAACAGAGGAATGGAAAACACAGCCATAAAATAATGAAGAGCCTGAAATTTGTGAAGTTTGAACTTTGCTTTATAAATATAAAGAAAAGACAGTTTTAAAGCAAGGGAGTGACATAATCAAAACCACATTTTATTTTTTGTTTTTTTAAAAGACTTTATTTATTTATTTTTAGACAGAGGGGAAGAGAGGGAGAGAAACATCAGTGTATGGTTGCCTCTTGCACATGTTCCCTACTGGGGAACTGCCCTGCAACCTAGGCACTGGTTCGACTGGGAACCGAACCAACAACCCTTTGGTTCACAGGACAGCACTCAATCCACTGAGCCACACCAGCCAGGGCTAGAATTGCATTTTAGAGCTACATTTAGCAGTACCCCTGGTCTCTACCCACTAGAATTTAATAGCGGGAGATAGCCAACATACTTAAAATATCCAAATAAATAAAGTTATCTGTGAAAATGAAAAATGTGTCTTTTATTTTATGAAAAAACTAAATGGACTTTTTGGCCAACCCAATATCTAGAGAAACCCTTTGCTTCTCTGTATTTTAATTCCCATGTCTTAACAATTGGACATAGGCACTTAGAATGCTCCCAGGAAACTGGCAGGCAAGTGAAATGAGTATAGTGAAAGTGTAGTCAGTAGGAGAGAATTTCAAGGACTCTGGTAATCATGGCTGCTTGGTCCCTGTTTCCAGTCTTACTCAGCAGGTTGTGGTTTATACTTTTTAAATGAAGTCAGATGCTGTTAGCGTAAAGATTGTTGAACAAATTAAAGCAATAATGAGATACTATGGTAGTGAATAGAGCTGATTCATCAAATATACCTGGTTATCCCACCTTCCAGAGTTGGAGCCCTATTTTCCCTGGCCCCTTTGTGGCTGGGTAGAACCTTATGACTCATGGGTTGTAACTGACAGTGTCCTGAGTCACTTTAATTGCCAATGTGAGACCCTCTAGCTTTCTTTCCTTCTGGCATGATGACTCATTACGTGGATTCCTGAGCAGCTATCATGAACAAAGTTCCACTGCCAACTTTCTAGAGATGATTATGCAGTGTCAACAAGAAATGTGCACAGCTTTTTTTGCTTTAAGATTTTGGAGTTGTTGCCACAACATAACCTAGTGTATCCTAATGCAGATACTATTTAACACATGTCAAATTTTTTCAAGTTAAACAGTTAACATCCAGTTCTAATGAAGGTGTGGGAAAAGAAATACTTCCAGAGATTTACTAGTGGGAGTAAAAATTGTTTCAACTTTTTTAAAATGAAAAAAAGTACTTTTTTTCCCCCTCAGATTCCATTCTGCAGAATCTCTTCCACAGAAATAACAGTGCTGCTTCAAAAGGATGTTAATGTTTATTGCATTATTTGTAGTGGCTAAAAATGAAAAATAATCTAAATTTCTAAGTAAGGTTTAGTCAAACTATGAAGTATTATGCAACTATCAAAAAGACAAATTGTATCCTTTTTATTGACTTCAAGGTATGCCTGAATCCCCTCCCCCCAAAAAATTCACACGCATGACCCTGTATGTACAAGCCTAAAACTAGGCTGTTTTACCTTAAAGGAGCAGGGGTGGTAAGTGATGGGGAGCAGAGGACATATCTTTCCTGTTACATCTTGCTATCCTCAACTTGTTACAATTTGTATGGCTTTTGTAATTAAACAAACCCAAATAAAACAAAAAATCTACACCTAAAAGACTGCCAACTGAGTTCCTAACGCAGTAAGCTTGGTATTGGATGCCACTAGTTGGGGATGGAGGAGGAGGCGGAGCCTCTGTAATATTTCCAGACCACGCCCACTTTACCCCAACGGCTTCTCACGTGTGCCCTGGCACGCTCTCTTTGACGCACGCGTAACTCGCCTAAGTTTGTCCTAGCCTCTGAGGGGCGCCCAGCAGTTTTGGATTTGACCCGGTTAGGCTACCGTCCTGGGGACCGGAACGGCACCTAAGGTTTGCTTCCGGCCGTGTCTTTTGCTTCCCCTTCCCTCCCTCACATTTCTTCCCCTCCCCCTATCCCCCTTTCCCTTTTCGTTCTCTCCCGTAGAGGCCGACCTCTGAGGCTTGAGTCTGGGGTCTGCTTGGTGAGAAGGAACTATTGTAGTTGGAATTAGGGAGGTGTGGGAAATTAACTGAGGTAATTGGAGACCAGCGGCTTGTCGGAAATGTTTTGTTTGTGGGAGGCGGTCGGGCGAGGGTGGGAAGGAAGTTTTCCCCAGGAGGCAAGCGGGGCGGGGTTGAGTAGGGTTTGCCGGGCGGGGGTGGGACGCACCTCTAAAATGGGTAGCACGGAGGGTGGGGCGATGTGTGGGCAAAGGAAAAATGGGGGTTGTGAGAACTGGCATTGGGATCGTAAGGCGTTCTGCTTTTCAGTTCTACTTTAACCGTTTGATTAAAAAAGATAACCCGGCTATAATTGGATTGTAGATTTTACGTAGCCCTATTTTATTCCCAAGGATGCTTTATTTCCCTCTTCTTGGGAGAACCCTCTTTGCTGCACATTTTTCTGTACTTAAGTATTATAGACTTTTTAAACACTGAGTTTCCACATGGAAGCAAAGTAATGTGAAGAGAACAAATGATTAAAAACAGAAGACAGCGAGTTAAAGACCAGCTCCTACTCTTCATATGGAAATATTTGTTCAAACTAGGCAATAGCGTGCAAAGATGTATTTAGAAAATATTAAGAAACGGGTCACAGAAATACAGGCATACCTTTTATTACGCTTCGTAGGTATTTTTTTTAAACAAACTGAAGGCAAAGACTTTCAGCAAAAAGGTTATCGATCACTGTATTGAAATACTCACTTTATTAAAGTCATCTGGAAGCCCAACCTGCATGCCTGTGTCTTCCTCAATGAATTGGTTCTCTTCATTTTCCTAAAACATTTCCAGTAGCTCTCTGTTGAATAATAATATATGGCCTCTCATACTTTTAAATCTTATTCAGGTCCATAGTCTGTAACATAAGATGAAACCTACAAAATCTTATCATCATATACTGGAGAATGGGGAGAGGGAACATAGACTCAAACTTAACAATACTTGAATATCAAGTAATGAGTTTTATTAGAGGACTGAGGTTCCCTATTGTGGTCATAATGACTCGAAAGGTAATTTTCATTTTTTGTTTTATGTAGAAGACAATAGCATGTCATCCCGCCCTGGGTGCCTTGGTTTGGATGCAGCAACAGCTGCAGTAGAGTCTGAAGAGATTGCAGAGCTGCAACAAGCAGTGGTTGAGGAGCTGGGTATCTCCATGGAGGAACTTCGGCAGTTCATTGATGAAGAACTGGAAAAGATGGATTTTATACAGCAACGCAAGAAGCAGCTAGCAGAGTTGGAGATGTGGGTAATACAGAAGGAATCTGAGGTGGCCCATGTTGACCAGCTCTTTGATGATGCCTCCAGGTGAGGACTACATGGGAAGGAGAAGGAAATCTCTCCATTGGCAGACATTTTTAATATATAATTCATCATGTTATGCCAAGCACTTTATAGTTTCTAAAGTGCAGATGTGTAGAACCTTACTCTTCCTCAAAAGTTAGAGTCTAGGCGTTGGCCAGGTAGCTCAGTTGGTTAGAGCATTGTCCCGATACGCCAAGGTTGTAGGTTGCATTCCTGGTCAGGGCACATACAAGAATCAACCAATGAATAAGTGGAACAACAAATTAATATCTGTCTGTCTCTCTCCCTCTCCTCCACCCTCTCCATCCTTCCACCTCTCTTTCTAAAACTCAATTTAAAGAAAAGTTGGAGTCTGATATTTTATCTTTCAACCACCCATATATGATATGTACTAGAGCCAAATATATGATCAGCTGTAGGGGAGTCCAGGTTTTGAGTCCCTTCCCCTTCCTCTTGCACTCCACTTCAGAGCAATTGCTTTATTTTCTTAGGGAGTAGAGTTGTCTAGGGAGTAGAGATCATAAAGAGTTATTGTTTTATGTAACTATAGAGTGTTAATAAGTTCCTAGAACTCTGAATCTAATGCTAAACTCCCAGAATATTTGTTCCTGATACCCTAGTTATCACTTAGGGTATCATTTTCAAATAACAACAAAGTAAATAATGAGGTATGGTTCACAGGACCAGACTTTGGGCTTATTTTGGATTTTTGAGAAACTAATCTGAAAACACTATTTAAACATTTCTCTTTGGGAGAAGCATTCTAAATTCTAAACAGAGATACTTGGCATATGGCTGTTTATAAATTAAAGTCAGCTTTTATTTAAATTTATATAAATTCTAATGGTTCCTACACCTCCTGCTGGCTTTGACCTTTTCTACATGTGTTCCAATATTAGGGCAGTGACTAATTGTGAGTCTTTGGTGAAGGACTTTTACTCTAAATTGGGACTACAGTACCGGGACAGTAGCTCTGAGGATGAAGCTTCTCGACCTACAGAAATAATTGAGATTCCTGATGAAGATGATGATGTTCTCAGTATCGATTCAGGTAAGAGATGAAGCTATGGAGAGGAAAGTCTCAGAATCAAAACTGAAACACTGGAAGATGAACGAATAGAAGATAAAAGAGGAGAGGAGAAGCCAGTTTCACTAATTCCTTATTCTAACTGTTAGGCTTGTCTATTCTTTCCTGTTACAGGAAAAAATAGTATCAAAATGTGCCCTTTATACCTCTTTCTGATTGAGTAGAAAGTAGTACAAAGTAGTAAATTCAATTCTGATTGAATTGCCTTCCTTTCCCCTTTCCATGTAACCGCTATTTTGAATTCCCTTGCTTTTTTTTTATAGGTGGCATTAGCACCTATGTATATATCTCAAAACATTGTTGGGTTTGTATACTTTGGAACAGTCTTATGAAGGTGTAATTTACATACTATAAAATTTGCCCACTGTAAGTATAGAGCTTGAGTTTAGTAAATTTATACAGTAGTGCAGTCTTCACCTCAGTGAAGAACAGTTTTAGAACAGTTGATCACCCCAAAAGGTCCCTTTGTGCTCTTTGCTTAATCTCCATGTGCCTCTCCCCCGGGCACTGCTGATCTGTTTCCTTTCTGTCAAAGTTTGCCTTTTCTAGAAATTTCATGTAAATGGAATTACAGTATGTCTTCTTTTATGTCCGGTTTCTATTACTTAGCAAATGTTTTTGAGGTTCATCCATGACTTGTTGCATTTATCAGTAGTTTTTTTTTTCTGAGTAGTATTCCATTGTATGGCTATACCTCATTTTTATCCATTCCTCAATTGGTAAACATTTGGGTAGTTTACCATTTGGGGCCACTACGAGTGTTACTGCTACGAACACTGGTGTGTAAGTCTTTCTGTGGACAAGTGGTTCATGTCTCTTGGATAGTCTGCCTAGGAGTGGAATTTTGTTAGGTCTTGTGGAAAGTGTATGTTTGAGTTTTTAAGAAGTTGCCCTGTAGTTTATGTTCCCACTAGTCAAGTGTGGCAGTTCTGGTTTTTCTACATCTTTGCCAGTGCTTGGTCTTACACAGTTAGTCTTTTATTTTAGCCATTTTAGTGGGTGTGGTGGGTATCACGTTATGATCATGGTTTACATTTCCCCAAGAACATTGAGCTTCTTTTTCCATACTCATTTGCCATTTATGTATGTTCTTTGGGGAAATAACTCAAATTTTTTACCTTTTAAAAAAAGTTCGGTTGTTTGATTTTTTTAGTTACTTACTTAGAGACTTAATATACTTTAGGTGCAATTCATTTATCAGATACATTTTACAAAATTTTCTCCCAGATAATGATCTTTTTTTTTCCTTCCAGTATTTTTTAATGCAGTCATACTTTTAAAAAAGTTTTATTGATTATGCCATTACAGTTGTTCTATTCCCCCCTTCATTCCCCTCCACCATGCACACCCCCCCACCATTCCCCCCCTTTAGTTTATGACCACGTATTTCAGGTTCTTTAGATTCTATATTTCCCATACTATTCCTGCCCTCCCCCTTACCTATTTTCTACCTACTGTCTATGCTACTTATTTTCTGTACCTTCCCCCCCTCCCACTCCCCTGTTGCTAACCCTCCATGAGATCTTCATTTCTATGTTTCCACTCCTGATCTAGTTGTCCTCTTAGTTTGCTTTTGTTTTAGATGTGGTTGTTAATAACTGTGAGTTTGCTGTCCTTTCACTGTTCATCTTTTTTAGCTTCTTTTTCTTAGATAAGTCCCTTTGACATTTCATATTAATAAGGGCTTGGTGATGATGAACTCCTTGAATTTGACCTTATCTGAGAAGCACTTTAACTGTCCTTCCATTTTAAATGAAAGCTTTGCTGGATAGAGCAATCTTGGGTGTAGGTCCTTACCCTTCATGACTTGGAATACTTCTTACATCCCCTTCTTGCCTGTAAGGTCTCTTCTGAGAAATCCACTGACAGTCTGATGGGAACTCCTTTATAGGTGACTGTCCCCTTAACTCTTGCTGCTTCTAGAATTCTCTTCTTCATTTTAATCTTGGCTAATATGATTATGATGTGCCTTGGTGTGTTCCTTCTTGGGTCCACCTTCTTTGAGACTCTCTGAGCTTCCTGGATTTCCTGGAAGTCTATTGCCTTTTCCAGGTTGGGGAAATTCTCCTTTATTATTTGTTCAAATAAGTTTTCCACTTGTTGCTCTGTCTCTTCCCCTTCTGGTACCCCTATAATTCGGATGTTGGAGCATTTAAAGGTGTCTTGGAGGTTCCTAAGCCTCTCCTCATTTTTTTGAATTCTTGTTTCTTCATCCTTTTCTATTTGGTCATTTTTTTCTTCCTTCTGGTCCACTCCCTTGATTTGAGTCCCAGTATCCTTTCCATCACTATTGGTTTTCTGTGCATTTCTCTTCATTTCAATTAGTTTAGCCTTCATTTATTCCTCTAATTTGTGACTAAAATGAACCAGTTCTGTGAGCATCCTGATCACCAGTGTTTTAAACTGTGCATCTGAAAGTTTGGCTATTTCTTGGTCACTTAGAGTTATGGGCTCTGGGGCTTTGAGTTCCTCTTGAGCCATTTTTGGTCTGTTCATGCCTGTTAAGTATGAGGAGTGGAGCCTTAGGTGTTCACCAGGGCAGGGCCACCCAGATCACTGGGTTGTCATGCTGTATGTGGGGGTGGGGTCAGATAGGGAGAAAAAGCGGTCCCCTCTGCTGCTTCCCACCACTGGGGCCTGCCTGGTCTGTCTCACTGCTCACTCTGCTGGTTTATCTGTTTAGGAATGTGTGACCGCCATCAGCCTGCCGCCTTGCACCCTCACTGGGTCCGCCCGTCGCTCACTGGGTCTGCCTGTTATAGCCCCTCCCCTGGGATCTGCCAACCGCAGCCCGTCAGCATGCCTGGGTTGGTCTGGTAGAGTTTTCCTGCGTAACCCTGCTCCGCCAGTCACTGACTTCACCCCTCTTACCAGTCTGGCTGAAGAATTTGTTGTTGTCAGACTTCCCAATAGTTCAATTTTCTGTGTTTTGGCTGCGTTTCTGTTACTAAAATTTTGTTGTCTTTAAACTTGGTTTTGTGAGAAGGCACACTGTTTCCACCTATGCCTCCATCTTGGCGGAAGTCTGCGGTCATACTCCAGGCACTCGCTGCTCCCTCCAACTTCCGGCCTACAGGTTCAGCAGCTCAGGGCCCTCGGCTGCAAGGGGTGCCATGGCTTTGGGCTGCCCCAGATAATGATCTTTTCATCTTCTAATGAAGTCGGGTTGAGGTTGGTTTGTTTATTTTCCTTATGGCTATCCAGTTGTTCTGCCACCATTTGTTGAATAGACTATGCTTTGGTATCCTTGTCAGAAATCAACTGGCTGTATATGTGAGTGTCTATTTTGTCACATTGATCTAAATGTCTGCCTTTATACTAGCACCACACTGCCTTGCTTTCTATAGCTTTATGGTAAGTAGTAAAATCACTTACTAAAAAGCCTCCAAAATTATTTATGTCTTATATATTCCAAGTAAATTTTAGAAACAGTTTGTCATTTTCTACCAAAAAAACAATTTAGCTGCTAGGATTTTTAATAGGAACTGTATTGAATCTAAAAATTAATTTGGGAAGTATTGCCTTTTTAACTGAGTCTTCTAATGCATGAACATGGTACAGCTCTCCTAAGTAATTCTTTATGATGCTAATGTAAATGAAATTATTTTCTTAATTTCATTTTAGCAATGTTTGTTGATAGAATATAAAAATATAGTTGGTTTTTGTATATTGATCTGGTAGCAAGGTTTTGTGGGTCTGTTTGTATTTTCTGTGTATTAGATCGTATTGTCTGCAAATAAAGTTAATTTTACTTCTTCCTTTCTAACTCGGATACCATTAATTTCTTTCTTTCTTTTTTTTTTTCTTGTTATACTCACTCAAACTTCCAGGATAATGTTGAATAAAGGTTGCAAGAGCAGCCATCCTTTCCTTGTTCCTGATCTTAGGGGAAAAGCATTTGATCTTTAAGCATTAATTGTGCTGTGAGCTGTAGGTTTTTTTGTAGAAAATATTTATCAGGTTTAGGGAAGTTGATTCTATTCGTAGTTTTATCAGTGTTTTTATCATAGTTGGATTGGATTTTAGATTTTATCAGCTACTTCTGTATTTTTTGGATATTAAATGAAACTTGCATTCCTGGAATAAACCCCCTCTCCCTTTGTTTTAATGTATAATCCCTTTTATATGTTACAGTATTGGATTTGGTAGTATTTTGTTAAGAATTTTTATACTGCCATGGCTGGTATGGCTCAGTGGATTGGGCACCAGTCTGTGAATCGAAAGATCATCAGTTCAGTTCCCAGTCAGGGTTGCGGGACCAGCGTCCCAGTTGCGTGTATGTGAAAAGCAGCCAATCAATGTATCTCTCACACATTGATGTTTCTCTCCCTTTCAACCTCCCTTCCCATCTCTCTAAAAGTAAATAAATAAAGTCCTTTTAAAGAAAAGAGAAGAATTTTTGTATCTACAAAGACCACAGTACTAAACATTACCAGAAGGGAAAGGAGTGTAGAAGGAGACTTGACTTGGGGAGGTGAAAACACTATGTAATACACAGATGACGCATTATAGAGTTGTACCCTGAAACCTATATAATTTTATTAACCACTGTCACCTCAATAAATTCAGTTAAAAAAAATTTTGAACCTACGTTTATGTAGGCTGTTTGGAGTTGTATTGTTTGATTTTCATATCAGGGTAATATGGGCCTTATGAGTTAGGAAGTATTCCCCTTGCTCCTCTGAGTTTATATGGAATGATATTATTTATTCTTTAAATGTTTGATATATTCAGCAATCTTGGCACGGCATTTCTTTGTAGAAAAAAAATTTTTTTAATAAGCTTTTTAGTTTGGGATAATTTTACATAAAACAGAGAGTTCCTATATACCTTTCACCAGTTTTTTTAATATTAATATATTTTGGTACATTGGTTAAAAGTAAGAACTAAACATTGGTTCTTTGCTTTTATTTTGATTTCTAGACTTTTTCTTTTCTAGGATCCAATCCAGGATACCACATTGTATGTATTGTGGGGAGGGTTTTAATCACTGATTTATTTTCTTTACTTGATATAGCTATTTCATACTTTCTATTCCTTCTGAAGTTGGTTTTTATTAATTTTGTGAATTTCTAGGAATTCTCCATGTTGATCTAAATTGTCTAAACTATTGCCATAAAGTTGTTCATAGTATTTTCTTATGGTCCTTTTCAGTTTCCATAAATTCTGTAGTGATATCATTTCTTTCTCTTTTTTAAGTTTATTTTATTGATTATTCTGTTAAGTTGTCCTATTTCTTTCTTCCTTTTATCCCTGTCTGCCCTGCACCCCTCCTCCCTCCAGCATTCCGCCCCCCCTTAGTTCATGTCCATGGGTTGTACATACAAGTTCTTTGGCTTCTCCATTTCCTATGCTGTTCTTAACCTTCCCCAGTCTATTTCTTGCCTACCAATTAGCTTCTTACTCCCTGTACTCCCCCCCAATTCTCTCCCCCTTCCTCCCCACTGAAAATCCTCCATGTTATCTCCATTTCTGTGATTCTGTTCCTGTTCTAGTTGGTTGCTTAGTTTGTTTTTGTTTTTTAGGTTCAGTTGTTGGTAGTTGGGAGTTTGTTGTCATTTTACTGTTGATAGTTTTTATCTTTTTCTTAGGTAAGTCCCTTTAACATTGCATATGATAATGGCTTGGTGATGATGAACTCCTTGACCTTGACCTTATCTGGGAAGCACTTTATCTGCCCTTCCATTCTAAATCACAGCTTTGCTGGATTTGGATTTAATCTTGGGTGTAGGTCCTTGCTTTTCATGACTTGGAATTCTTTCCAGCCCCTTCTTGCCTACAAGGGAACTCCTTTATGAGTAACTGTCTCCTTTTCTCTTGCTGCTTTTAAGAATCTCTCCTTATCTTTAATCTAGGATAATGTAATTATGATGTGTTTTGGTGTGTTCCTCATTGAGTCCAACTTTTTTTGAACTCTCTGAGCTTCCTGCAGGAAGCAAAGCATATCTACCTACTCCTTCATCTTATCCAGAAGACTCATTTCTGATATTGGTTATTTGAATCTCTTTTTCTTGGTTAATATAGCAAAGGTTTATCAATTTTGTTGCCCTTTTTTAAGGAACCATTTTTTGGGTTCATTGATTTTGTTTTTTACTCTTTTGGTTTTTATTGATTTCTACTCTAATCTTTATTATTTTCTACCTTCCATTTAACTTAGGTTTGATTTGCTGTACTTTTTCTAGTTTCTTAAATTGGAAGCTTAGATTTTTTTTTTAATTTTTTTATGTTTTAAAGAGTTTATTTTTTAGAGAAATGGGAAAGGAGGGAGAAGGAGAGGGAGAGAAACATCAATGTGTGAGAGAGATATCAGCTCTTACACACTCCCAACGGGGGACCTGGCCTGCCATCCAGGCATGTTCCCTAACTGGGAATTAAATACGTGACCTTTTGGTTTGCAGGCTGGCACTCAATCCACTGGGCCACACCAGCCAGGGCAGGTATTGTTGTTATTATTATTATTTTATCTTCAACTGAGAATATGCTTATTGATTTTAGAAAGAGGGGATGGGGCATGTAGACTCCCCACCCCTCCCACAATGGTAGATCTCAGGATACTCCCAGCTTGCCTGCCCGCCGTGGCCAACAAGGAAGCAGCCTTTGATGATGTAATAGAGAAATGTGTGATCAATGAAGAGAGAGGATGGGAGGGAGAAAAGGGAAGAGAGAAACATCGATTTGAGAAGGAAACGTTAATTAATTGCCTCTTGTACAGCCCTGACCGGGGACTGAACCTGCAGTCTAGGCATGTGCCTTGACTGGGAATCAAACCCATGGGCTTCTGGTTTATAGGATGCCACTCCAGCCAACTGTGTCACACCAGCCAGGGCAGAAGCTTGGATTATTGATTTAAGACTTTTCTTTCTAATATAAACACTTAAAGCTGTAAATTTCCTTTTAAGCATTGCTTTACCTGCATCTCACAAATTTTTATATGTTGTATTTTCCTTTTCATTCAACTCATAAGTTTTTTATTTCCTTCATGATTTATCTTTGACCACTGGGTCATTTAGAAGTATATTGTTTGACTCCCAAATATTTGGGACTTTGCCAGATTTCTTTCTGTTGTAAATTAACTTCATTGTTGTCAGAAAACATACTTTGCATAATTCCAGTTCTTTAAAATATATTTAGGCTTTTTTAATGGCCTAGGATATTGTCTGTTCTGGAGAATGAACCATGTGTGCTTGAAAAAGAATGTGTATTCTGCTGCTGGAGTGTTTTATAAATACTGCAAAAAATTAATCTTGTATGATGAACACATATATTATGACTATATAAAATATCTAGAATAGACAAATCCACAGAGACAGAAAGTAAATTAGTCGTTGCCAGTAGTTCGGAGGAGGCTAGAATGGGGAGTTACTGCTAATAGGTATTTTTATCACCCTGAAAAGGAAACCACATACTCAGTGGTTTTTCCTTATGGGGTGATGAAGATGTTCTGGAATTAGTGAAGTGAGTTATACGGCTTTGTGAATATACTAAAATCCACTCAAACATTTTTAAAGGGTAAACTTTTTTAAAGATTTTATTTATTTACTTTTAGAGAGGGAAAGGGAGGGAGAAGAAGAGAAAGAGAAATAGCAATGTGTGGTTGCCTCTCACACCCCCCCCTACTGGGGACTTGGCCCACAACCCAGGCATGTGCTTTGACTGGGAATCAAACCAGTGACTCTTTCTTTCACAGACCAGCATTCAATCCACTAAGCCACACTAGCCACGACTAAAGGGTAAATTTTACAGTATGTGAATACCTGATTTTTAAAATTTTTAATGAAATTTAAAATTTATTTTCTCAGTTGCACTAGCCACATTCACTTGCTTAGTAGCCACATGTTAACAGATTGGACAGTGCAGATACAGAACAGTTCTATCATAGCAGGGAGTTCTGTTGTACAGCATTACTTAAGAGTAAGTATTTTTGCTTAATTTATTGATTACATATCTTTTTTCAGAACATTCAGAAAATCCATAATTATTGTTATAAAAATTCAAATATACAATGAAAACCCAAAATCCTATAAACCACGTGCCCCAGTACTTTACCCCTGGTTAGCACTGTCATTTATTTGCTATGTATCTCTTTGAACTCTTTTGGTACTTTTACATATATATGTGTACCCATGTTTACTTTTCAGTTACTATTGATAATACTTCCATGATAATGCTTTTAAATAGCTTAGTTCTTGGTTTCTTGAAAATTCTTGTGTTACGTATCTTACACTCATTAGTTTATTTCATCCATAGGTGATGCTGGGAGCAGAACTCCAAAAGACCAGAAGGTGAGTTGGAATGGGTAGGAGAAGGGTTAAAGATAAGAATACGAAAATGAGAGAAATTTTTGGCCTGACATAAAGTCATTCACTCTGTAATCAGCCCTACTTGTTGCAGTCCTGTAACAGATGTTACACGAATGCAGAAGAGGTTCCTTAGAGATTTGTGCATGGAGTGCTATATGAATGTAGAATTTGGCGGTGCTGAGCTAGTTGAGATTAATCAAGAAAAGCTTTCTAAAACTGATTTCTGAACCAAATTTGTAAGAAAGGGCAATTTTGCCTGATAAAGTAACCATAAGCTGCCAAACACAACTAATCTATTTTGTTTTTTTGAAAGACAAGTTACTTCTTATTTTAAAACTACTTCTAATCAATGCTGCTATTTCAGTTTCCTTTATCCCTTTCCTTACAGCTTCGTGAAGCTATGGCTGCCTTAAGGAAGTCAGCTCAAGATGTCCAGAAGTTCATGGATGCCGTCAACAAGAAAAGCAGTTCTCAGGACCTACATAAAGGTTAGGATCAAGTGGTACCTCAATGCAGGTGTGGGTGCATTCGGACAGATTTCATGGATAACTGACTTTGTTTTAGCTTCTCAGAATTCTTCTTTACCTTTGTTGGGTTCTTTTAACACCACAGACTATGCAAGTCAGTATAAGATTATGATTTTGCTTTTCCCTGTTGTTTGCTTAAGCCAGCTACTTTTCTGTTATGTGATGGTTTATCCAAATATCTTTTTAGCTCATGCTCATGACTACTTCTTCCAGATGGAGACCAGAGAGAATAGAGTAACTCAGATACTTAAAAGCAATCTGAGGGAAGCTTTGTGTATAGAATGGGGCTGTTAACAGGAAAATGTTTTATAAATGCTATTTTGTATTTATGATTGGTAATATTGTTAAGAGTTGTAAGCAGTTGGTTAAAATGAAACATTATTGAATTACATGTGAATTTCAATTATTCAAGTTTCTCCTGTTAGCATAATAGTTGTCAGCTATGTTTCAGCTATGTTAAGTATTTTTGCCCTTGACCAAGAGAGCAGCAGTAGTGGCTAAGGATAAAAAATTACTCCATTTTTCCTGATTACCCTGCTGCCCTCTTTACTTTTTTATTCTTTCCCCGGTCTGTGCCATATCTCTTTACAAGAACATTGCTTTCTTCCATAGGAACCCTGAGTCAGATGTCTGGAGAACTGAGTAAAGATGGTGACCTGATAGTCAATATGCGCATTTTGGGCAAGAAGAGAACTAAGACATGGCACAAAGGCACCCTTATTGCCATCTCGACAGTTGGTATGTTCAAGCTAGAGGAAGAGCTAATGAAAGGCAACCTGCAGGTCTCCGTTGCTGATTATTTCTTTTCCCTGCAGCCTTGCCTTTTGTCTCACACAGTAGCCAGGATTTACACAGAAACTGATGGTTTTTAAAAACTTTTGTCTATCTTTCCCTCAGGGCCAGGAAAGAAGTACAAGGTGAAATTTGACAACAAAGGAAAGAGTCTACTGTCAGGGAACCATATTGCCTATGATTACCACCCTCCTGCTGACAAGCTGTATGTGGGCAGTCGAGTGGTGGCCAGATACAAAGACCGGAATCAGGTCTGGCTCTATGCTGGCATTGTAGCCGAGACACCAAACGTCAAAAACAAGCTCAGGTACCTGGACAGAGGATCGTAAAGAGAGCAGAGGCTGGGAGCACAGCACCTGCCCCATCTCAGTCATAGTCCGGATCTCACAATTAGCCTTTGTGCTCTTAGTCCTCAGAGGCCCAAAACCCTTTCTCTTTCTTCGCCAGTAGAGTCTTGTGGATGACTCTTTCTTTCTGCCCCCTGCCTTTTTTTCCTGTCTTAAAGAGAAAACTTGGAGGAAATCTAGGAAGAGAGTAATCAGGATGGATTAATGGTTGGAGAATAGGGAATTTGTATAGAAGAAAGAAATAAAGTGGAGACTTAAGTGGTTTTCAGAATACAAATCTGATAGTGGCACAGGAGTAAATAGCTTTTGGAAAAGTGGGGCTGTATTAGATAGATTAAGGGAGAATTCTTACCTCCTGGGGTGGGAAGAAAGAATAGCAGGAAGAAAATAGTAAACTGGAATATCTTCCCTAAAGTGTGTCTTGTTTGATCAGGAGGAATGGAAGCGATGATAAGATAATGCTTTAGGTCATGATCAGTATGATCCCCTAATCTTTCTACTATGGCTCTTTCCTTACAGGTTTCTCATTTTCTTTGACGATGGCTATGCTTCCTATGTCACACAATCTGAATTGTATCCTATTTGCCGGCCACGTGAGTATCCCTCCCTTCTTCCTTAGTTCTGTTCATCTTCCTCTACCTTGTATTTCTTCTATAGACAAACAGTTGAAAAGCCCTAGTGGTTTTGGTGCTTCAGTCTCAACATAAGTTTGATTAATGTCCTTTGAGAAATACAGCTTTATTTGTTCATCTCCAGTGATGGGTTTTGTAGCCACAGTGAAACACTGGAAGATCATAACTGACCTTGGGTGGACAATTGTATTATAGACATGTTTTGATTTCACATCTAAGTGATTTAGATTTGAGAAGATACTAGTCTCATACTTATTTCCTAGCCTCATACTTCATCTAATGTGTGTAAATCTATAGGCTGAATGGTGCTTTCTACAGAAGCTGTGTTGGATGGGAACTTCATGGTATCCTCCATACCTGTGACTCAAGCTCAGGGATAGACTCTTACAGAAACAACAGGGATTTTGTTTTGTTTTGTTTTGTTTTAAGGGATTTTTAAAAATCTTTACCAAGGATATGTTTATTGATTTGAGAGAAAGAGAAACAGCGATCAAACCCACAACATAGGTGTACGGGACAATGGTCCAACTAACTGAGCCACCCAGCCAGGACAGAAGCAACAGTTTTTAATCACAGAAGAGTCAGCTAACACTGCTGTATTTACACATAATGCAGCAGTAAATGCATTCAGGATACCTTAAAAGCCTGATAGAAGATGAGAAAGAAGGATACATTTTTTTAATCAATTTTCTGATGCCACCTGATCTTTTTTTGGTTTACTTTTAGACATAACAAGTTAGCAAGTATTTTTGTTTTAATTTTCTGAAGGAGGAACTTCCATTTTTATGAAATGAGTGACTCATCTGTATTGTATTTAGTATTTACTTTATTTATATGGGCATTTACACATCAGGTTCAATACTTTTTTTTTTTTAATCCACATCCAAGGATATACCCATTGATTTTAGAGAGAGAGAAAGGGCAGGGAGAGAAACATTGATGTGAGAGAAAAAACTGATTGGTTGCCTCCCATGCACACCTCTACTAGGGATCAAACCCACAGACTTTTCGTGTACAGGACAATGCTCCAATCAACTAAGCCACCCGGCCAGGGCTTCAGTTCAGTACTTCAGTTTTGCTTCCCTTGAGGCTGTGATTTCATTTACTCTTCTGTCCCTCCCAATTAAAAATATCAAACATCTTGCCAACCATTTTTCCCTATCAAGACATGCCCTACATTCCCTTTCTCAACCCTTCTTCTTCTTTGGGACAGTGAAAAAGACTTGGGAGGACATAGAAGATATCTCCTGCCGAGACTTCATAGAGGAGTACATCACTGCTTACCCCAACCGCCCCATGGTGCTACTCAAGAGTGGCCAGCTTATCAAGACTGAGTGGGAAGGCACATGGTGGAAGTCCCGAGTAGAGGAGGTGGACGGCAGCCTAGTCAGGATCCTCTTCCTGGTACTGTTCTTCCCTGGTTTTTGAGGCAGAGGTTGGGTGGTGGGGGAGCATAAGAGGCAATAATGAGGATGATTTTGTAGAAGTCGATAGTTTTCCTCTTTCTTATCCTGTCTGTCCCTACTGTTGTTGGTCATACTTTACTTTGTCCTTTTTGTTCCTTTGTGAACGGTCGAAAACAAATTTCCTGAATTTAACTTTGACAATAATCTGTATGGTTGTTGTTCTATCTCCCTCTCTCTTCCTTTCTCTAGGAATATTCACATTGTCTATAGGTACAGAGAAAGCAGCCACTTCTATTTGTCCATGGTTAGGATTTTGGTAGTATAAGTAGGACAAAGAAGGAAGAATCAAGGAATTTGAATTGGAGGTCTTGATGATATTTCAAGGCCCAATTTAACTCTTAGATCCTCTATACCCATCTTTTTCTCCCATCTCACACTTAGAATAAAACTGGGTTTGTTCATTTTTTCTCTGTAAGATGGGTCTACTAGCGCTTAGTTGTCTTTTATTTTTTAAGAGTTTATTTATTTTTAGAGATGGTGGAAAGGAAGGAGAAAGGGAGAGAAACATCAGTGTGTGGTTGCTGCTCCCATGCCCCCCACTGGGGACCTGGCCTGCAACCCAGGCATGTGCCCTGACTGGGAATCAAACTGTGATCGTCTGGTTCGCACACCTCTGCTCAATCCACTGAGCTACACCAGCCAGGGCTCTCTTGCTGCTTTTAAGATTCTCTCTTTAGCTTTAACCTTTAGCATTTTAGTTATGATGTGTCTTGGAGTGGGCCTCTTTGCATCCATCTTGTTTGGGACTCTCTCTGCTTCCTGGACTTGTATGACTATTTCCTTCATCAAATTAAGAAAGTTTTCTTTCATTATTTTTTCAAATAGAGTTCCAGTTTCTTGCTCTTTTTCTTCTCCTCCTGGCATCCCTATGATGTGAATGTTGGACTGATTGAAGTTGTCCCAGAGGCTGAGTACACAATCCTCATTTTTTTGGTTTCTTTTTTTCCCTTATTATTCTAATTGGTTGTTTTTTGCTTCTTTATGTTCTAAATAATTGATTTCACTCTCAGCTTCATCCACTCTACTATTATTTCTCTGTAAATTGTTCTTTGTTTCGACTAGTATATCCTGCATTTCTGACTAGATCTTTTTTATTCTGTTGAGATCCTCACTAAGTTCCTTGAGCATCCTTTTAACCAGTATTATTAACTCTGCATCTGATAGTTTGCTTATCTCCATTTTGTTTAGTATTTTTTTCTGAAGTCTTGGTCTGTTCTTTCATTTAGGCCATGTGTCTTTGTTCATGTTCGTAGCTTCCCTGTGTTTGTTTCTATATACTAGGTAGAGCTGCTATAACTCTCTGCCTTTGTACCATGTCCTAATGTAGTCAGTGTCCTATAGGGTCCAGTGGTACCTCTTCCCCCATCATGCAAGCTGGGTACTTGAGGTACACCCTTTGTGTTGGCTGAATAGACCCTCGTCTTGTAGTTGAGCCTTGATTACTGTTGGCAAGTCAATGGGAAAGATTTACCCAGGCCAGTCAGCTCTGCCGGGCCGTGACCACTGACCACCAACCTCTACACTCTGAAGGATCAACTGTGCAGTCGCAGGATGGTGGTGCTCCTGTGTGGTCTGTAGCTGCCCACTGGGGTGTGCAGGCTCTGGGACTTCTGGGTGCAGGCCAAAGTCATCCCCCACCTGTGTTCTGCCCAGGGCCACACTGCATAAGCTGTATAGCAATCTGAGATGGCTGCTACTTGTTCTGGGCTTGGAGATTCCCAGGTGAAGCCAAGCTGTGGATCTCAGCTGGCTGCTGCTAGTACCGGGCCTGGGGCCACTTAGCAAGAGGTACAGGGGATGGGGGCTCACTGAGGCTGGCTGTTGTTTGTTTGGTAGGATTTAGGAAGTTGTGATACATGAGCCAAGACCAGTCATTCTGATGGAAAAGACATAGTTAACAGTCTGGGTAGGCCTGTAGGTTGGGTGAGGCAGAGTTTCAGGATCTCCAGAATGGGGAAAACAGTGTTGGCTAGGTTGATGGAGTCTCAGAAAGGGCACCAGCCTGCCTGCTCTGTGGCTTTCTGGAGGGAGGGCTCAGAAAATGTACAGCGGCTTCTGCCCACCTTTTGGTCTGGGGGAAAGCTGCCCTCCAGCTCCTGCCTTGATGCAAGATACTTCAGTTCCTCCAATGCCAGTGGTGCCTTTCAAGCTTCTACCCTGGTGCTGGAGCTCAGAGGGAGTAAGTCTGAGTAAGCTCATGTATGGGTTCTTAAAGGGAAACTGCTTGGGATCCAGAAGTTTCTTCCACCATCTCAGTTCCCACTGGTTTTTGCAGCCAGAATTTGTGCAGCCTTATCTTCCTGGCACTGAACCCTGGGCTGGGGTGCCTTGTGTGGCCTGGGACTCCTCGCTCCCAAGATATCCCTCCGAGTTTTTATTCCCCTACATGTGGGTGAGATGCAGCCAGTCTGGATGGATGAGGTTTTTTTAATTCCGTAATCATCAAAGTTCCATTCAGCCCTGTTTCTGATTCTGAGTGATGGTTCTATATTTTAGTTGTAATTTTGATGTGGTTGTGCGAAGCAGTGAGCCATGTTTACCTATGCCGCCATCTTGACCAAAGTTGTACTTAGTTGTCTTTAACTGCTTTCATAATAATTTTTTAAATTGTATCATAACAGCTGTTACTATCAGTGTGCATTTAAAAGCAAACATCAAAAATGGTGAATTTCTTTGTTGCCATTTTAATATTAAAGATGGAAGAAAATATGCAATAGTTTCAGCATATTATGTTTTATTATTTTAAGTAAGGTAAAAATACAACTAAAACATGAAAAATGACTGGTGCAGCATATGGAGCAGGTGTTGTGACTGATCAGATGTGTCAAAAGTTGTGTGCTAGAGATTTCTCACTGGACAGTGCTTCTTGAAGTTGATAGCAATTGCATCAAGATGTGAATTGAGTTCCGCCAAGATGGAGAAGTAGGTGGAGGATCCACCTCGCCTCTGTGCACAACCAAATCTAAGAACAACTATTTTTAACAGCAGTCACAACCAAGCCACACGGAAAATCGACAATACGGAGTCCAAAGGACAACTAGATACTCGGCTGGACCGGTACGAGGAGCGAGGCCAGCAACAGAGCAGGTTAGCAAGAAAAAATTCCCGGGGCGGTGCGCGGTGCGCGCAGGCAACCGAGGGCGCTGATCGCCAGCCAGCTGGCTGCCGGAGCGCACAGGGAAGAGGCGCGGTGGGTTGGTCGGTCACGCGCATTTACGTGCGGAGAAATCAGTGAGAAGGGAAAACCGCGCGGTGCAGCAGGCTCGCACAATTAGGATCGGATAAACAAGCCCGAGGTGTGTGAGTGACTGGATGCGCTGGGCTAGCGGAGAGGAACGCCATTGCTCCCTCTCTGACCCCGCCCCCACACACAGCGTCACAAACCAGCGACCTGGGTCGCCCCGTCCTGGTAAACAACTAAGGCTTTGCCCCGCTCACTTAACAGCACGAATAGACCAAAAATGGCTCTAAGACAACTCAGAGCCCCAGAACCGATAGACCTAAGTGATGAAGAAATAGCCAGTCTTTCAGATGCACAGTTCAAAACACTGGTTATAAGGATCCTTACAGAACTGGTTGACTTTAGTCACAAATTAGAGAAACATATGGAAGCTAAATTAATTGAAATGAATGGGGATACAAAAGATACCAATAGTAATGGAAAGAAAATTGGGACTCAAATCAAGGGAGAGAACCAGAAGGAAGAAAAAAATGATCAAACAGAAAGGAATGAAGAAATAAGAATTCAGAAAAATGAGGAGAAGCTTAGGAACCTCCAGGACATCTTTAAACGTTCCAACATCCGAATTATAGGGGTACCAGAAGGGGGAAAGGCACAACCACCAGTTGAAAAATTATTTGAACAAATAATAGGACTTCCGCCAAGATGGAGGTTTAGGTGGATGTGCCGTGCCTCCTCACACAACCAAGTTTAGGGACAACTAAATATTAGCATCAGAAAACACAACCAGAACACGGAAAACTGAACTTTTCGGAAGTCCGCTAACAACAAATTCTTCGGCCCGACTGGTAAGGGGCGAAACCGGCGTCGGGTGAGGAGTTACAAAGGAGAGCTCAATCGACCCGGGCGCGGAATCCAGATGCGCGAATCCAGTCGCACGGGTTCCAAACCCAGGATTGGACCTAGTGAGCGACCGAGCGGCCCACCCGGGTGAGCGACTACGGAGGAGACAGTGGGGAGGCGGTGGCAGCGAGTTGACTGTGGTTGCCCGGTTGCGCGCGGGTGAGGGAGTGAGTGGTCGGACCGGCGGCGGCGCCATTTCCCCGCTCTGACCACGCCCCCACATACAGCGTCACAACCCAGCGACCTGGGACTCCAAGGCGCAGCTTCTCTCACTTAAAGGGGCAGAACAGACCAAAAATGTCGCAGGGGGACCTCAAAGCCCCAGAGATAAATCTAAGTGACGAAGAAATAGCAAATCTCTCAGACGCACAGTTTAAAACACTGGTCATCAGCTTCCTCACAGATCTGGTGGACTATACCCACAAATTAGAGAAACATATGAAGGCTAAATTAAGAGAAATGAATGGAATTCCACAGGAAACCCATAGAGATGAAAAAAAAAACTGGGACTCAAATCAATGGAGTGAACCAGAAGGAAGAAAAAAATGATCAATCAGAAAGGAATGAAGAAATAAGAATTCAGAAAAATGAGGAGAAGCTTAGGAACCTCCAGGACATCTATAAACGCTCCAATATCCGAATTATAGGGGTACCAGAAGGGGGAAAGACACAACCACCAGTGGAAAAACTATTTGAACAAATAATAAAAGAAAATTTCCCCAATCTGGCAAAGGAAACAGACTTCCAAGAAATCCAAGAAGCCCAGAGAGTACCAAAAAAGTTGGACTCAAGAAGAAACACACCAAGGCATATCATAATTACATTAGCCAAAATTAAAACGAAGGAGAGAATCCTGGAAGCAGCAAGAGCTAAGGGGACAATCACCTACAAAGGAGTCCCCATCAGGCTGTCAGCAGATTTCTCAAAAGACACCTTACAGGCAAGAAGGGGCTGGAAAGAAATATTCCAAGTCATGAAATCTAAAGACCTACAACCAAGATTGCTCTACCCAGCAAAACTTTCATTTAGAACGGAAGGACAGATAAGGTGCTTCTCAGATAAGACCAAATTCAAGGAGTTCATCATCACCAAGCCCTTATTATATGAAATGTTAAAGGGACTTATCTAAGAAAAAGAAGTTAAAGAAACATGAACAGTGAAAGGACAACAAACTCACAGTTATTAACAACCACACCTAAAACGAAAGCAAACTAAAAGGACAGCTAGATCAGGAGTGGAAACATAGAAATGAAGATCTCAAGGAGGGTTAGCAACAGGGGAGTGGGAGGAGGAGAAGGGGGGAGAAGGTACAGAAAACAAGTAGCATAGACAGTAGATAGAAAATAGATGGGGGGGCAAGAATAGTATGGGAAATATAGAACCTAAAGGACTTGAGACACATGGACATAAGCTAAAGGGGGGTAATGGTGGGGTTGGGGGGCAGGGTGGAGGGGAATGAAGGGGGGAATAGAACAACTGTAACAGCATAAACAATTCAAAAAAAATAAATAAATTTATTTTAAAAAAAAAACAAATAATAAAGGAGAATTTCCCCAAGATGGCAAAGGAAATAGACTTCCGAGAAATCCAGGAAGCTCAGAGAGTCCCAAAGAAGTTGGACTCAAGAAGGAACACACCAAGGCACATCATAATTACATTAGCCAAGATTAAAATGAAGGAGAGAATCCTAGAAGCAGCAAGAGCTAAGGGGACAGTCACCTACAAAGGAGTTCCCATCAGACTGTCAGCTGATTTCTCAAAAGAGACCTTACAGGCAAGAAGGGGCTGGAAAGAGGTATTCCAAGTCATGAAAACCAAAGATCTACAACCAAGATTGCTCTACCCCGCAAAACTTTCATTTAGAATGGAAGGACAGATAAAGTGCTTCTCAGATAAGACCAAATTCAAGGAGTTCATCATCACCAAGCCCTTATTATATGAAATGTTAAAGGGACTTACCTAAGAAAAAGAAGATAAAAAGAGATGAACAGTGAAAGGACAGCAAACTCACAGTTATTAACCACACCTAAAACAAAAGCAAACTAAGAGGACAGCTAGATCAGGAGCAGAACCATAGAAATGAAGATCTCAGGGAGGGTTAGCAACAGGGGAGTGGGAGGAGGGGAAGGGGGGAGAAGGTACAGAAAATAAGTAGCATAGACAGTAGATAGAAAATACATAGGGGGGAGGGTAAGAATAGTAGGGGAAATACAGAATCTAAAGAATTTGAGACACATGTTCATGAACTAAAGGGGGAAATGGTGGGGGAGGGGTATGCAGGGTGGAGGGGAAGGGAGGGGGGAATAGAGCAAATGTAATGGCATAATCAATAAAAAAAAATAAATTAATAAAATTTTCAAAAAAAAAGATGTGAATTGAGAACATTGAACGTTATACAAAGCGGAAGGTAGCCAGCATACTCACAATATCCAGATGAGTAAGGTGACGGGTAAAAATGAACAACATGTCTTTTATCTTACGGAAAAAATGAAATGGCCTTTTTGGCCAACCCAGTATTGTTTCTCTGAGCTATCCCAGCTTTTTGTTTCTAAGGCCTTACAAGCCTGCTAATAATTTTAATACTTAGCAAAAGCATGTGTTGTTCCTGAAATTTCTTTAGCAAGGCATATTATGTTTTTCTTCTTTAGAGTCTTGATGTCTGTCATGAAGCCTGGCATTATAAGTTTATTAAATAAGTAAGGAATTCAGGGCTCATCATGGAGATTTCCCCAAGGAAGCACATGGTATATATTGTCCATGGATGGCAGGATAGAGTCTAGCCTTTAGCTCATTTCTTTCTCCCTCCCAATCCCCCAGGATGACAAAAGATGTGAATGGATCTATCGAGGCTCTACACGGCTAGAGCCCATGTTCAGCATGAAGACATCCTCAGCCTCTACATTGGAGAAGAAGCAAGGAGGACAGCTCAGGACACGTCCAAATATGGGTATGTCCTGAAAGACACCCTGGGGGGAGGGTGGAATGGGACAAACCAGCAAAGGAGAGTGAGTATGTACAACCCTTTCCTTTCTTTACCAAGATGACACCACTGACTCATTAGAAACAGGACATGAGTGCCCTGAGTTGTTGTTGGTGATGGATTTATGGTGCTGCCTCCACGTGCTGTGGCTCTGACTCGTTCTAAGTAACCACATAAAAGTCGGAAACAGCTGGCTTAGGTCGGGGGTGTTGGTTGTAGTCCTTGGTTGTACCTCTGTTACTCACATGATGATAACTGCTTTTTCTTGCCTATGGTCAAACTCCTTTAAAGCCTAAACTCTTTTTGTTTTTGTTTTTATATGTTCCAGGCATCTTTCTGGTTGGTTTTTTTTTTTTTCTGGATACATTAGTTGATCATCAAAGAATGTATTTTTTAAAGTTTTCACTTAAGTATAATAATAATTATTATTATTAATACTAATGTTATTAATATTATAACTCATAATATTATAAATCATCTTATTGATTCAAAGCCAGCCTTTGAATGCCACCCATTGGTGTAAATACTGGGAACTGACAGCCTTAGCTCTTTCTCAGAATGTTTCCATTTATGCTTTTTTTTATATTCTATAAATTGAGGGTCAGATGTGTGCATAAATATGTGACACAGCTCTCATCTTCTCAGTGGTCAATTTTCTTTTTCCTATAGGTGCTGTGAGGAGCAAAGGCCCTGTGGTGCAGTATACACAGGACCTAACCAGTACTGGAACCCAGTTTAAGCCAATGGAGCTTTCACAGCCTACTGCCCCAAACATCCCACCTGCTGCTACACCTGCCCCACCTGCTACACCCACCCCTCCTGCCCCACCTGTTCCACCTCTGTCTCCCCAGGCAGGTGACACTGAGTAAGTGCTTTTCCTTCTTTTTTTTGCCAGTTTCTTTCATATTTCTTATTTATATATTCTTTACCATATGTTCTCTTCTCTAATCTCCTAGAAGCTTGGAAAGCCAGCTTGCCCAGTCACGGAAGCAGGTAGCCAAAAAGAGCACATCTTTCCGACCAGGATCTGTGGGTTCTGGTCATTCCTCCCCTGCATCCCCTGCACTCAGTGAAAATGTCCCTGGTGGGAAACCTGGGATCAACCAGACATACAGGTGAGAAAATCTCAGACTCGGGTGGGGAGGGAAGTGCACTTTGTGGACTACGTGGTTCACATAGCAGTCACTTGTAGGGAGCCTCCTTGGCTCCATGGAATTATGGATGGTGAGGAGTTTGGACTTGAAAAGAAAGCTTTAACCATAGAAGTTTCCAGGAAACAGAATGTAAAAATAATTGAATTAGGATCTGGGTGCCTAGAAATACACAATCACCCAAAAGTCATTTGTCAAAATTTCTTGATAAAAATGTGATGTCGTCATTGGTGCACTGCCCTTGGATTGTTGGAGTTAGTAAGGACATTTATAGGACATGTAGCAGGAAATAAAGCATTTGTAGAAGACTGGACTCTGCTTCCATAATTCACAGGCAAAAAAAGAAATTTTAGGAAAAGGTATACACACTATTGAAATAGGTCAGTCACTAAAGAGTATCCAGGATGTTTCATTGTCTAGGTTTTTGGTAAGGCAAGGGAAAATCTGACTCTCTTGTGCCATCGTTAGCTTCAAGAGCACAGCTGTTTGGAAGGCTAGAGAAGTGGTTTAGCCAGCGGGAGAGGTAGTTACTTAACAGAGATATCCTATCCTATCCTGTTTTATTCTTACCTGATCTGTTGCATCTCATTTTCAGATCACCTTTAGGCTCAACAGCCTCTGCCCCAGCACCCCCAGCACCCCCAGCATCCTCAGCATCCACAGTTCTCCCAGCCCTTCCAGCCCTCCCAGCCTTCCATGGCATGCTGGAGCGGGCCCCAGCAGAGCCCTCCTACCGTGCGCCCATGGAGAAGCTTTTCTACTTACCTCATGTCTGCAGCTATACTTGTCTGTCTCGAGTCAGACCTATAAGAAGTGAGCAGTACCGGGGCAAGAACCCTCTGCTAGTACCACTACTTTATGACTTCCGGCGGATGACAGCCCGGCGCCGAGTTAACCGCAAAATGGGCTTTCATGTTATCTATAAGACACCTTGTGGCCTCTGCCTTCGGACAATGCAGGAGATCGAACGCTACCTTTTTGAGACTGGCTGTGACTTCCTCTTCCTGGAGATGTTCTGTTTGGATCCATATGTTCTTGTGGACCGCAAGTTTCAGCCTTATAAGCCTTTTTACTATATTTTGGACATTACCTATGGGAAAGAAGATGTTCCCCTATCCTGTGTCAATGAGATTGACACAACCCCCCCACCCCAAGTGGCCTATAGCAAGGAACGAATTCCAGGCAAGGGTGTTTTCATTAACACAGGCCCTGAATTTCTGGTCGGCTGTGACTGCAAGGATGGGTGCCGGGACAAGTGAGTTGGTGGGGTATTGCTGGCCCTGCTATGGTTGCCTTTCTTTCCACCTCTTTCTTTGCCTCATATGTGCACTCCTTTCCCCATCTCCCTCTACATCTTCCTCAGCTGGAGTTCCTGCCTTACGGTCTGCATGAAAGTTATGAAATAGAGATGCAAGGGTCAACTTGGCCCAGCTGCATAACCTGGATGCATATGTCTTGTGTTGTTTGTTTGACTCTCCTCCGTTGCTTTCCTTCACCATGCTTTCAGTTGCTGCTTTGCTTCATTCTCTTTACCTTATTCTCACTGTGTCATGTTCTTCTCTCTCTTTCCCTTTTTCATTTACATGTATGAGAGAAGAAAAAAATTTCATTATCTTATCCCCCATCCTTTTATTAATACTTCTTACTTTTAAAGAAAGTCTCATATCTCCAGCTGTCATATCATTCTGTCTTATGTAGGTCCAAGTGTGCCTGCCATCAGCTAACTATCCAGGCTACAGCCTGCACCCCAGGTGGCCAAGTCAATCCTAACTCTGGCTACCAATACAAGAGGCTAGAAGAGTGTCTGCCCACAGGGTAAGTAGTCAGAGGAAAGTGAGGCACCTCAGACTGAGGAGCGTGTTCTTGTTTTTCTGTTTGTGGGAACCATCAGAATTCTAAAAATTGGAATCAAAAATAGAATATATGAAACAAGCATTTATTTTATCAGTTGGATCTTATTTATTGAAATCCCAGCACTTGTTTCTTCCTTGGGCTTTCCTTGAAATGAAGACATAGAATGATTGAACAGTGTCTAATTTTCTGTTGCAGTTAAAGGTGCTCTTAATTTTGTAGCTGTGTGAATGTCCTAGAAGATTATGGCTTGCTCTGACAAGTGAGTCTGAGATGTGTTCAGAGGAGAAGAAGGTAGAGGCCTGATTGTGATTTTATAATTAAGAATAAAAATTACAGTCAAATTCATGGTGCCATTCAGAAGCTGTTGGAGAATCTTAAGGAGTCAGATGGTCTGATCTATCTGCCTTTTGAAGATTACTCTAGCTTCTGTAAGGAGAATATGTTGTAGGTCAGGAAAAGAATAATTTGGAACACCAGTTAGGAGATGTAAGTGAGAGGTGGTAGTTGCTGGTACTAAAATGAAAGTAATAGAGGTGAAAGGATAGATTTGGGATACATTTGGAGATAGAGCTAAGAACTTGATAGATTAACTGTGGGTGGTGGGAGGGGAGGGCAGGATCAAGGACAATTCCTAAATTTTATACTTGAGCAACTAAATGGATATTGATGCTTTTTGACTGAGATGGAAGACCAGAGGAGTTGCAGGTCTGAGTGAAGTTCAGCTTCTGTTTTAGCCATGTGGAGTTTGAGATGCCTGTTACACAGTCCAAGTGGGAACATCGGGAAGGCAATGAGATTTCTGAGAGAAGTGTAAGGGCTGCAAAGGAGTGGTTGGTATTTAAAGCCTGGATGAGTTCACCTAGAGAGAATATTGGTAACAGAGAACAGAAGGGGTCACAGGAGTCAGCCCTGGGTTCTCCAGCTAGAGACTGAGCAGAGGAGGTGGAGCCAGCATGTGAGATTGAGAAGGACAGGTCAGGGAAATAGAAGGACAATAGGAGAGTGAGGTACAGCATGGTAAATTGTTTACAGATGAACATGTGAGCTAATAAGCCTAGTGCTCAAGATGCATAATAAGCAGAGAGAACAGAAGAAGAGAGGAGAAAAACATCAGTGAAATGAGACATTTTCCTATAACTGAAGGGTCTGGGTTTCCAGGGCCAATCAGATCCCATTGTAATGACTGACAATAGATCCCCACTAAAACACATAACAAAATGTGATCACTGAGCCCACAGAACACTGAGGACAAAAAGAAAATTCTGAAAGTTTCTAGAGAAGAGAGATAGACCACACACACACACACATACACACAGGTACAGAATGACTTAAACCTTACCGAAATAACATTGAAAGCTAGAAGGCAATTAAGAAATTTCAGAATTGTTAAGGGAAAATTATTTCTAACCTAGAGGTCTAAACATAAGCAAACTCTTAGTTCAGTGTTAAAGTAGGCTAAAAACTTACACATACATAAAATACATCAAACTTTTTCATTATTCCACTTCTTGGGAAGTTACTGAAAATGTTTACCAAAATGAAGGTATAAAGTTCAGAGAGGGGAAAGTATACGGATTCAGGAAACAGAGGACCCAACTCAAAAGAGGGGTGAGAGAAATCCCACAGATGACAGTGAAGGGGAGTGAAGGAGGGGTCCAGGCTGACAGCTGGGTATAGAGAATAGCCATTATGAGAGTGGGCCAATCCTGCCTGCAAAAGAGACTTCAGGAAAATAAACAATTTGATAGAAAACCTGCAGCGTGTCTGAGTATCTTCGGAGGTCATCAGGACTATGAGAAGATCAGGAAATGAATTTGTGCCGAGTGCATATTTGAAAACTAAGCAAAGGAAAAGACAGTTATTAGCTTTACCTGCATCACTGTATCATTTTTGTTTTCATTTAATTTTTTAAAGATTTTATTTATTTATTTTTTAGAGAGAAGGGGAGGGAGAAAGAGAGGGAGAGAAACATCAACGTGTGGTTACTTCTCACGCTCCCAGAACAACTGGGGACCTGGCCCACAACCCAGGCATGTGCCTTAGACTGGGAACCGAACCAGCAACCCTTTGGTTTGCAGGCCAGCGCTCAATCCACTGTGCCACACCAGCAGGGGCTATGTGTTCATTTTAAACAAAAAAAAAATTTGAAATTTGTAACAATGTTTAGATACATCAGTGCTTAGTAGTAGATGAGTATTCATTGTATCTTTTTTACATGTTTGAAATGTTTCATTAAAATGTTTTCAAATGACCACAAATAATATATGACTCCTGTGCTTACACCTCTCTAATAATAGCTTCTAACTCTACTTTGGATTTTATTCTAATCCTTAGTCTTGGGTCACAAGACACTGTACTGTCTTGCTCCTTCCTATTTCTCTCCCTGCACAACTGTTCCAGCCACACTGATAGTCTTCATTTCCTGGATCCAGTTCACGCGGTGTTTGCCAGCCTACCTTGAGGGCCTTTGTACATGCTGGGCCCTCCTCTTGGCATAGTTATGGTCTTTAACTTGAGGCTCTCTCAACTTTATTCTCACCTCAGAGAAACCTTTCCTGGTCACTCTAAAACTAGGTCATTTTCACTTTATCATTCAATCATTGAGCACCCTGTTTGTGTCCTTTACAGCATCTGGGACAACTTTTATTTATTATATTTGGTCACTTGTTTTTCTTCTGTCTTTTCCATTAGAATGTAGCTCCATGAGGGCATGAACCTTGTCTACTTGCTCACCATTGTATCACTAACAACTAACTTACCCAGTGCCTGGCACATAGTGACAACTTGGATTTTGTTGAATGAATGAAAGATACTCAGCATAACTACTCTGAAAGTTTCATCTGGTGGCAATTAAACAGTTCAAGTTTTGGCCTCATTCCTCCCAAACTGGTCCTGTTTTATCAGCTGTGACACAGGCTCTGAGCATTGCCACCCAGGGAATAAAAGTTATTTCTTGATAAGAAGCTGGTTCTGTGTTTTGTGAAAATTCATCGAGTTGTACAAGTGTACTTCTCTCTGTGTATGTTATACTTTAATCATTTTTTAAGTTAAAAAATACCTTATATGCCTATTTCGAGGATAGAAAAAGAGAATATGTAAAGCATTGACAATGCCAAACAACACAAAGTATACGTTCAGTAAACAGAAGCTGCTCTTAACCTTCTTCATCTGGGGGATACGACTGATGTCATCAACCAACTGATTGTACTGTTATCTTTCCAAAAGTAAGTGTCTCCCTTAATTTACATACAGGAACATAAGTCAAATCCGAATCATGAGCAAAGGAGATAGAGCAGAAACAGTGATACTTGAAAAGATGGCAGTTTTCTCAGTATAACTTCTTCCTTTAATATTGATATTTGCTAGATCTGATTAATGTCAATAGTTTATTTTTTTTAAATCGTTAAATCCATGAGATTAGAGATTGTTTTCCACCATTGTGTCCCCAGTGTCTAGCATAGCTCTTGTTGTCTTAATGAATTTTCACTAAATAGAATAAAAACTTTACCAAAAAAAGAATCTAATGAACTTTAGTACCAGCTCATCCACTTTACTCCCTTTCAGTAGCTATTATATTGGTTTCAGCATTTGTCACACACCTTTATTTGATGCATCTATTTCTCTACAAGTTGACGTAGCTTATCTATTTACTTTAACAGCTCTTAATCTACGTTCACATCATAGTTGCTTGACTTTTCTCCAGGTTGGGCATCCTAGTATTCACTAGTACTAACTGTAATGCTATAAATATCTGTATAAATCACTTTTCCCCTTCTGAGTTATTTCCTTTGGCTATATTCCCAAATGAATCAAAGAGCATAGATAATTCAGTAAATCTGCTTATATAGTCGTTACCTAATAAATGATGGTACCTTAAGAATTCTAACAGTTCTCAGAATTCAGTGGATGCTCTAGTGATTGTGTCATGATTGATTTTATTGTACCCTCCTCCCAGAGTTTATGAGTGTAACAAACGCTGCAAATGTGACCCAAACATGTGCACAAACCGATTGGTGCAGCATGGACTACAGGTTCGACTCCAGCTGTTCAAGACACAGAACAAGGGCTGGGGTATCCGCTGCTTGGATGACATTGCCAAAGGTTCCTTTGTCTGTATTTATGCAGGTTGGTGATGAAAGGTTTGCTTTCTGCAGTTAGGACAAGACAGGGAATTAAATCAGTGACAAGTTTGAGCATAAGAATGAAATGCTTGACATGTGAACTTGGGAGTAAGAGTAGGCCAAGATTTTCTTCTGTAAAGAACAAGATGAGTAATGTGCCTGTCTGGGAGGATTAGGGAGGGACAGAACTGCTTCATAAGGACGGGTGAAATTGTGGATGTGACAGTGTTTCAGAGAAGGGGCATGATGGTAGGGTTGAGTGTATCATTTTCTCCCACATCATTCTACCCTACTACTCCACCCAGAGATCTTCAAGTGTAGCTGAGAACTCTCTTTTGATAAAGAGAAACAATGGGAAGGCAGAAAGGGCAAGATGTAAAACTACACTAAGTGCCTTATACTCTCCTAGATAAGACACAAAGGAGGGGGTATCATCAAAGAGGTGAAATACCATACAGGAGGCATTTTGACTTTATGTGCTGGTGGGCTAGGTGTGGTGGGGTGACCCTTTTCTTTCTAAAAAACCAGCATAACTCTGGAAGGCCTTTAATTCTCTTCATTCCCAGGCAAAATTCTGACAGATGACTTTGCAGACAAGGAGGGCCTGGAAATGGGTGATGAGTACTTTGCCAACCTGGACCATATTGAGAGCGTGGAGAACTTCAAGGAAGGATATGAGAGTGATGCCCCCTGTTCCTCTGACAGCAGTGGTGTAGACTTGAAGGACCAGGAAGATGGCAACAGTGGTACGGAGGACCCCGAAGAGTCCAATGACGACAGCTCAGATGATAACTTCTGTAAGGATGAAGACTTTAGCACCAGCTCAGTGTGGCGCAGCTATGCTACCCGGCGGCAGACTCGGGGCCAGAAGGAGAATGGATTATCTGAGACAGCTTCCAAGGATTCCCGCCCCCCTGACCTCGGGCCCCCACATCTTCCTGGCCCTCTGTCAATCCCTGTGGGTGGCTGCAATCCACCTTCCTCTGAAGAGACACCCAAGAACAAGGTGGCCTCATGGTTGAGCTGCAATAGTGTCAGTGACGGTGGCTTTGCTGACTCTGATAGCCATTCATCCTTCAAGACTTGCGAAGGTGGGGAAGGCCGGCCCGGGGGCATCAAAGTAGAAGCTGAGAAAACCTCCACCTCAGGGCTGAGCTTCAAGGATGAGGGAGACCTCAAGCAGGCCAAGAAAGAGGTAAACTCAGGGAGCGCTGGTTTGTGTGTGACTGCTGTGATAACAGACTCAGTGCAGTCCTGCCATGAGTCTTCACACGTTAATTATTTACTTAATGGACACTTCTGTGGGAAACCTGATTGTCTCCCCTCCAGCCAGCACAACTCTGGTGTTTATTTAAAGAAAGAAATTATTTTGCCCTGGCTGGTGTGGCTCAGTGGATTGAGCACGGGCCTGCAAACCACAGGTTTGTGGTTCGATTCCCAGTCAGGGCACATGCCTGGGTTGCAGGCCAGTTCCCAGGAGGGGACACACCAGAGGCAACCATACATTGATGTTTCTCTCCCTCTCTCCTTCCCTTTCCCTCTAAACATAAATAAATAAAATCTTTAAAAAAAATTATTTTAAAATCAACCTACCGGGTTGATTCATTACAATGTAAAGGCTTTATAAGTAATTTTTTAAATGAAGTGCTATTTCAAGTTATCTATATCATTACTTCTCTGAGAGAAGAATTTTAAATATTTTTAATGATGTTAAAACTTACTGTAATACAGGTACTGAATCCCTTGTCTTTATAAGACTCTGCTCGTGTTTTTTACAAACATTTTATGCATTATTATTGGGAAGGGTTGAAGACCTCTCCCGGAGACTTTGCTGATGAGACTGAATGCTGCCATCGAGTTGCAGTCATTTCTCCACACACACCTTATTTGAGAGGGTGTATCTCTCACCGGCTAATGTCTTTGAGGTCATTTGAGATGAATCTAAGTATCGGATTTGTTACCTAGGACCATGAAAACATTTAACCCTTCACTTGCTCTTTTTTAGGACCCTGATGACCGAAACAAGCTGTCAGGGTAAGTGTCTCTTTGGACCTGTTTCCAAACCTGCCTTCTTTCAAGCCTACAAAAGAAGGCAGAGAAACAGCCAATAACCCAATTCCTCTCATTGCTTCCCCTCCCGTCAGAGTTACTGAGAGCTCTCGAAATTACGGTTACAATCCTTCTCCCATGAAAACTGAAGGACTTCGCCGCCCACCTAGTAAGACTAGTATGCATCAGAGCCGACGCCTCTTGGCCTCAGCTCAGTCCCACCCTGAAGTAAGTGGCCTTTCTCAAGCTGTACTGTACCCTAGCCTTCTCTTTTATTCAGAGTCTGATGGAAGGAACACCCTCCTCACCTCATCAGGCCCTTCACCACAATTTCTGTTAGATCTTTTCTTGCATGCGTGGCCTTGACTTCTCCATCTTTCTCATCCAGCAGTAACCTGCCTCTTGTCATAGCCTCAGCTCCTTTCTGACTAACTGTAGGTAAGAGCAAGAACTTGAAGGGGCCCTCTCCATTTATTCTCTTCCTCCTCCTTACCCTTCTTCCTCCCCAGGATGTCCTGACTCTGTCCAGCAGCACAGAAAGTGAGGGGGAAAGTGGGACCAGCCGAAAGCCCACTGCTGGTCAGACTTCAGCCACAGCAGTTGACAGTGATGATATCCAGACCATCTCCTCCGGCTCTGAAGGCGATGACTTTGAGGACAAGAAGAACGTATCTGGTAGTCTGGAAGAATTTGGGGGGTAGTTGGAAGGAACTATAGGAAAGTTGAGATGAGGTGGTTTTTTTTTTTTATTTTAATTTATTGATTTTGGAGGAAGGGGGAGAGAGAGAAACATCAATTTATTGTTCCACTTGTTTGGGCATTCGTCAATTGCTTCTTGTATGTGCCCTGACTGGAGATTGAACCTGCGACCTTGTTATAATGGGCAATGCTGTAACCAACTGAGCTATTCAGCCCAGGGCCTATCTTTTGGTTTCTGTTGTTTTTAGTGGTTAGACATTTATATATGTACCCAGCACCAAACAATTACTATATTATTGACTATATTCACTATATTGTACTTTATATCCCTATGACTATTTTGTAACTACCAATTTGTACTTGTTAAACCCTTATCTTTTTCACCCACCCCCTGAACCCTCCACCTCCTATCTGGCAACCATCAGTTTGTTCTGGTTTCTGTATCTGTGTGTGTATTTGTTCATTTATTTTGTTCTTTTAGAGTTCTCATGTAAGTGAAATCTATGGTACTTGTCTTTCTGACTTATTCCACTTAGCATTAATACCCCCTAGGTCCATTCATGTTGTTGCAAATGATAAGATTTCATTCTTTTTAGGACCCAGTAATATTCCATTATGTATATATATCTTACATCTTCTCTACCTAACCATCTATTAATGGGCACTTAGGTTGCGTTCATATTTTGGCTATTGTAAATAATGCTGCAATGAATATAGGGATTGCATATATATTTTAAAATTAGTGTTTTGTTCTTTGGAGAAAGAGCTATAAGTAGAATTGTTGGGTCATAACATACTTCTATTTTTACCTCTGTGAAGCACCGCCATACTGTTTTCCATAGTGGCTGCACCAAGTTGCAGACCTTCTGACAATGCATCAGTTCCCTTTTCTCCACTTCCTCATCACCTGTTTGTTGATTGACAGCCATTCTGACAGGTGTGAGGTGATATCTCATTGTGGTTCTAATTTTCATGATGATTAGTTGACATTGGGCACCTTTCTGTATATCTATTGGCCAATTAGGGTTAGAGAATTTTTAAAGGAAGCTAAAGGAAAAATTCAGATCCCAAGAATTGAAACATTTCTGTAAGTGCTCCCTGGCTCCCAGCTAAACTGTTAATATTGTTTGATACGTCTCTTTGCTGTCTTTTTTCCATTTCCCTGCTCTTCTCTCAGCTCCTTTATCGAGCAGATCTAATCCTTCTTGAAAAACCTGCCATTTAGGATCTTTGCCTGAGTCCCAGTTTATTGTTATTCCTGAGCCGCAGTGTGTGGAATGAAATGGGGGCAGACTATCCGGTCATGAGTTGGGATGGGATGGGTTCTGATCCTGTTCTCCTTCCTGCCTAGGTCCAATGAAGCGCCAAGTGGCAGTAAAATCAACCCGAGGCTTTGCTCTTAAATCAACTCATGGGATTGCCATTAAATCAACCAACATGGCGTCTGTGGAAAAGGGGGAAAGTGCACCTGTTCGTAAGAACACACGCCAGTTCTACGATGGTGAGGAGTCTTGCTACATCATCGACGCCAAGCTTGAAGGCAACCTGGGCCGCTACCTCAACGTGAGACCCCTTTCCCTCAGATGCTGGATTATCCCGTGGTCTTTAAATTTCTAGTATTTCAATGCAATTACATAAGCCTACCTTTTCTTGTTATAAATTCTCTTAAAGAGGTAGCTTTTTTCAAAACTGCTGTGATGGGGAGGATCAAGTGGCATCGTTTTTCACCCAGCTTGCACTCACCCCACAAAGCTGGATTCTGTTTCCGTGGTTCTTACTGATCCTGTCCTTAAACCTACAGCACAGTTGCAGCCCCAACCTGTTTGTCCAGAATGTCTTCGTGGATACTCATGATCTTCGCTTCCCTTGGGTGGCCTTCTTTGCCAGCAAGTAAGAGGGAGTCAGAAAGAGGGTGGTTGGGTAAGAAAAGAAACCCATGATTGGGAAGGGGCAAGAACTATGGAAATTCTAAGGGGCCCTCCTCCGTCTGTGATCCAGCACCACCTGTACACTCGGTAAGCCCAGGCACCCAGGCTGTCTGCTGTCTTCCCATCCCACCCTTCTTTCTTTCTTTGTAGGAGAATCCGGGCTGGGACAGAACTTACTTGGGACTACAACTACGAGGTGGGCAGTGTGGAAGGCAAGGAGCTGCTCTGCTGCTGTGGGGCCATCGAATGCAGAGGGCGTCTTCTTTAGAGGGCAGCCTTCTTCCTAATCTGAATCCTTCCTGAACTGACCATCCCCAGAAACTGGGTCTTCCTGACTGTTGAACTGTGACCCACCCACCAGGTCTCCAGTCTAGCTACTCCTCCAGCTCCTAGGAGATAGAAATGGGGGTTCTGGACCAGGAGATCCCTTTCAATGTGGTGCTAGCGGGCAGGGTCCCTCCTCCACCCCTGAGGCACTAGGGGCTAGTGAGAGGTTACCACTCTAACCTGGGCCTGACGTCCTCAGCCCCCCTGCTGCTCATCCCTCCCATCCTACATTTGTTCAAGTGTTCATGCTTCTAACACACTGTGCTCCTCGTGTGAGGGCTGTGCATTCACTGTCCCTGGTTTGTATTGTTTCTGGAAAGTCTTTTAATAAGATGTTAAGACTAAGATTGTGATTTGATTTTCTTTCCCTCAGCCCCCATACTCCCATTTCTGGGCCTTTCAATATTGCAGTCTGTTTTCTCCCATCCTTCCCAGATGGGCTGCTGTCATTAATCTTGTACCTCCTCTACCTTTGCTTTCCCTTATTTGCCACATGAATTTTTTAATTGTTATGTAACCAAGAGGAAGGCATGAGAAAGACTACCTTAGTTTATTTAGTTGATCCCCCTCTAATTCCTAATAGTCTCAGACACTTGTCGCCATGTTTTACTTAATCTTTAATATATTTTAATTAAAAAACCATTAACAGTACATTTTGGTTTGAAGTGGTCCCACTGCTAAAAGGCCAGGTGCTAGCTGTAATTCTGGCTTTAAAACCAAAACCCCGAATGTTTAATAAATTAAAAAATTAGAACTAGTTGCCATTCTACTCCAAACCAACTAGCCTAAGGGAAGAGGCCAGAGAAAGGAGGCAGTAAGATCTTGGACCTGGTGACTACAGGGGACAGCTGGCAGAAAAGTAACACGAAGACTGTCTGAGCAGTCCCCAGTATGGCCCCACTTTTTGGCAGAGGTAGGGTAAGGGTCATGTTTACCCTCCTACACTCAGTTCATTTGCATCTTAGGAGAGAAAAGATTAAAAGCTCAGCTTTGGTTTCTGGTCCAAGTTAGGGAGCTTAGAAAGGGTGAGCCTTGGTCCAACTTTGGCAGAATGAGGCCCACAAATGGGACAGTAAGGCACGACCCTGGCTCTGGAGGTCAGGGGGTCAAAGGCAAACAGCTAGGGCCAAATTCTGAAGGATAAGGAATGTGAGTTGTAATCCCCACCCCTAGAGCTGAGGAAGGGTCTTGAAAGCAACAGAAAGGACGAGGTGGAAAATAAAGACTATGTCCCCTCACCCCTGTGACAATATCACTAACCCTCCCCCAGGTGGAGACATGGGGATTGGTCGGTCAGGATTTGGTTTAAAGGCAACTGGGTGACAAGCAGGGGGTGGGGGCAAAGAGAATAACTCACTTCTGGCGTTCTCCTTTTTCTCCAGAACTTAAAGTGACCCTACTGGGGGGCAGGGGACAGTTCCTTGGCTTTACACATTAATCTGAGGGGTGGCAGGGACAGTGGTTCAGTCGTTCTTACGATGGTTGTTGATGAGGATGGGGTGGCCATTGGCTAGGGCCCGGCTCTTTGCTCCTCCCCCAAACGCGGCCTCTTCCCCCTCGGAGCTCTCTGTTTCTTCTCGGTCACTGCGCTCATCTTCTACCTGCTGTGGAACAGCATAAGGAGGTTTACTTGATGTCCTCAAACCTCTTTAAGTATTGCCTCTCCATGGGGGCTTGTTCCAGCTATCCCCAGGGCCCCCCCTGGAGGTTTTTAGAGGGTTGCTGGTATGGGAGGGAGTTTGGGCAGTTTCTAGAGTTGAGGGTAGTAAGACCTACAAAATGGGGAGAGAGCTTTCACCTTTCCAGTTACAAACTTGTGGGCCATGCGCAGAATGAGGTAGGCCCAGAAGATGTGCAGCATCTGTAGCACTCCCATCATGGAGTTAAAGAAGTAATAGCCAAAGAAGGCAGGATAGAGCTCCAGCGGGTACACCACGGTGCAGTGCAGGATCCTGGGGACGGGAAGGGAGAGACGGTTGTAAACACACGAAGAAGGGGGCTGAGAGGGAAGACAGATAAACGGAGGGAGGCAGGACTCCTGATTTCATGAGAAAAGTATAGTCTGGTCTCCTACTCACCAGAACGGCAGGATGACCAGTCGGGTGATGATGAAGACGATGGCAAAGACGATGAAGATGTTGTTGCAGGTGTTTTTCCATCCCGCATAGTTAAACATCTTGGCTGACTGCATAGACAGCCCCCGTCCGTCATCATGGGCTCCTCACTCTCCCATACACACTCACATGTACACCCCAGTTACCACACTGGCTCTGTGCCCCCAACTCCTAGGTCCCAGGAATGTCACACACCCCCCATAAACCCCAAAGGATAGAGGGACAGAAGAACCTGCACCAGGGTCTCTGGGTATAAAGAAATGCCCAGCCCTGGCCAGTGTAGCTCAGTGGAGTGAGCACAAGCCTGCGACCCAAAGGATCACGGTTCGATTCCCAGTCAGGGCACATGCCTGGGCTGCAGGCCAATTCCCAGCAGGGGATGACACACAAGAGGCAACCACACATTGCTATTTCTCTCCTCTCATTCCCTTCCCCTCTAAAGATAGATAAAATCTTTAAAAAAAAAGAAAAAAAATAAATGCCCAGAAAGCCTGACCTCTAGCAGGTAGTCGGAAGAGTCATGCAGAGCCATGATGAGAGTCCCTGCTCGGATGTAATTGGCAAACCAGGAGAAGCTGATGAGAATGATAGTGGCCACGTGGTGGATGATCTGCTCCTTGAAATCCTAGGGAAGACACAGGCTCCAGAGGACTTTTCCTGTACCCGAGCTCCTCCTCCCCTTTCCTGCCCCTCACCTTTAGTTCCCCACGTCCCACAGCTCTGCCCAAAGCACCCACAAGTCAAAGAGCGGACTTCAGCACAGCTTCATTTGGGCTTCTAGGCTTAATGGCACAGCCCCTTGACCCACCTTTCGCTTAACGTCAGAGGCGATGCTGAAGAGCAGGGACCAGTAGAAAGAAAGCTCAATCATGTAGTACCAGTACTGAGAAGGGATGGTGCTCTGGGGGAGAGAGTGGGAGGTGAGGCGAGGGGCCCCAGAGTGACCGGACCCAAGAGTCACAGCTCTCCAAAGGAGCCCTTCTGGCCTCCGAGACGGTTCAGCACCATGACTCCAGTCCCTCCTGCCTGGGGCTCTAGAGACGGTGTCTTCGTGCACCCTAGTCCTATGCTGCACTGATTTCTCATCATTCCCTAAAGGGAAACCAGGGCCCCTTTTCATACCTGTATGGGGTATCCCTCCCAAACTTTCTTCATGTCATAGAACCAGGGTTTCTGCAAAGAGATGGTGAGAGGTTAAAGAGGCTGGTTGTGGCTCAACAGGTTGAGTGCTGGCCTGCAAACCAAAAATCACTGGTTTGATTCCCAGTCAGGGCACATGCCTGGGTTGCAGGCCAGGTCCCTAGTTAGGAGTGTGCAAGAGGCAACTGATCCATGTTTCTCTTGCACATCATTGATGTTCCTCTTCCTCCCTCCCTTTCCCTCTCTCTAAAAATAAACAAGTAAAATCTTTAAAAAAAAAAAAAGAGGCACCCAAATTCTGTGGCCTCCTCACGCCTTGCCATAGAACCTACTCACACGTCCCAGTAATCCCCACTCACATCCACAATGACAGCCATGCCAGCAATGAAAGCAACCAGGTAAAATGTGAATCTCCAGCTGGAAAAGAAAGTGGAAATGGCTAGAACAGTGGGGTGGGAGAAGCGTGCAAGTACCCCAGAGATCTTCAGGAATGTCTAGACAACCATATCGATCTGACCTGGGTGAGATCACCCTGCATACTGCCACAGCCCACCCTTCCCAGCAAGGTACATCAGACCTTCCTCTGCTTCTGGTGCTCCAACCTCCCCTACCAGGCTTCTCGGAACTTCTTGAGGAGACTTGGCCGGTCCTGGTTGCGGCGGCGGCGGAACCATCGCTCTACCTGGCGGCCAGAGAGCCCACTCTGCCGGGATAACTGCTCTACCTCCACCTGGGTGTAGTGAAGAAGCCCATTGCACTTCGCTTCAGAACTCAGCAGTGCCCAGCACTGTCTCACCTGCTCCAAGTAACAAGCTTGTAATAAGTCTGTAGCACTACTTTCCCATTTCTTCACCCACCACAGCTGATATTCCAACCCATTCCTTCCTTTTCCCTCCGAGAACTCGGTAACTTTTCAAGCAGATCTGCAGCTCATACCTGTTTAGGATGCTTGCCACTGGTTAGGTAAAAATGCTCCAAGGTGGGGTTGGGAGGAGCCCGCAGCCGAGTTTTCTCCTTTACATTCAGGAGGGCAGCCAGTGGTGTGGCCACATAACTGAGGAAGGGACATGAGTGAGAACTGTCTGGCTCTCTTGAAGCGCCTCAGTGTCTTGGTAGCCCCTAAGCTGGGAGGGGAGAGGACTGCAAGCTCAGACTTTACTCCGGCCTCAGTTTCCTGGCAATCCCCTCTCTGGCCTCCTTGAGCTGCTCAGAGCTGACAAAGCTGCCTGTGTTTACAAGTGGCCAGGCAGGGTAGAGGGTGAGAACAAATGACCATTGACAGAAAGGGTCAGGGGGTGCTGAGCCCTCGGGAAGACAATGCTGCCTTCAGTGGGAGACACAGTAGGCAGGGACCTGGGTGGCTAAAACACCAGGGGCTAGGGCCAATTAAACAGCCAGACACACACTTGAAGTGGACAGCCAGGAAAGAAAGGCATGTGGGTAGGCGAGTATGCTCACAGCTCAAAGAAGTGTCGAATGATGAGGAAGAGCAAGGCCAGGGGTAGTGTGATGTAGAGGTCTGAGGCTTTGGCGTAGATGCGTCCATCTCGGTCTTCTAGATCAGCCCAGGTTAAGTTCACAGGCAGCCACAGCCGCTCCCACCAGAAGTAGTCATACAAGGTCTGGAGCATTCTAAGAGGGTAGGGGGGAAGGTAGAGGGCATCAAAAGGGACAGCCACCGGGAAAAGATAGTTAAGTTTTCATGGTTTAACAAAAGGAGCAGAGGGCAGAGACTCAATCCTGGGCTCAGGTCCTGGAATGTTAAGCTGAACTTGGACAAATCATTTTCTTCATCTGTAACATGATGGCCTTCCAGTTCTATCTTTTAGCATTTACAACAGTCGAAGGTGATGCTACCTCCACCCCCAGGAAGTCCTGATAGCCTAGAATTAACAGTCTCGATGTTCCCATCATTTTGCTTTCCTAGCATGGAGGACAAGCAGGATCTGGTCTTAGAAGCCAACGGTCTTAAAGTCAGAGGGACCACCCTACCCCTAACTCTCCAGTCTCTCAGCCAGACAACTGCAGGCTTCCTTGCTGGGGAAGTTCAAAAACAGATTCCGGGGCTGGGGCAAACCCTCCCTTCCCCTTCCCTACAACCCATGGTTCCTAGGGAAAATTAAGAGGCCAGAGTAAAGCAAAATTATGTTCTCAAATGGGCTGAGCTCTAGGACAATCAGTGGACTATTGCACACAAGATTAATACCCATGCCAAATCACCCAATTCCTACACATAAAGCAGAAGGATCTTTTCAGAAACAAAGTGGCCCTGGCTGGTGTAGCTCAGTGGATTGAGCACGGGCCTGTGAACCAAAGGATGGCCGGTTCAATTCCCAGTCAGGGCACACGCCTGGGTTGTGGGCCAGGTCCCCAGTAGGGGGCACCTGAAAGACAACCACACAGTGATGTTTGTCTCCCTTTCTCCCTTCCTTCCCCTCTCTCTAAAAATAAATAAATCTTAAAAAAAAAAAAAGTAAAGAAACAAAGTGAAGACAAAGCTGCAGAGAGTCAAGGACTGGAGAACAGAGAATGGAGACAGCAAACCAAAGTGGTGGAGTTAGAAGCTACTGCTTATTAAGGTTCATCTGAAAAAGAACACTAGTCTGCAAAGGAACACCTGTCGCAATACCCTCAGCTCAGGAAGAGCTGCTGCTTCCCCAGCCTCCCCTCCCCTGAAAAAGAAAGGTAGCCTTGACCTGTGCAGCTCAATGGGCTGGGAGTCATCCAGCAAACTGAAAAGTCACCAGTTCAATTCTCATTCAGGGCACATGCCTGAGTTGGGGGCCAGCCTCCCAGCTGGGGGTGTGCAAGAGAAAACCAATTGATGTGTCCCTCCCACATAAATGTTTCTCTCCCTCCTTTCCCCTCTCTCTAAAAGTAAACAAAATCTTTAAAAGAAAGAGAGAGAAGGTAGTGGCTGGAAGAGGTTTAGTGACCACTTGGGCACTCGAATGAGGAAGGAAATGGCCCATGAGGGGCAGCAGCTGTTGGAGCTGAGAGAAGCAACAAGATGGTCCTGACGAGCCAGTGATGCTGGAACCAGTACAACACCTGGTGGTCTTGGGACTCAGCAGTGAATACCCCTTGGTGACAAGGGCAGTACTTTCCAGACTTCCTACCCCTCATCCAGGAGAGGTGGCAGTGTTCAGGCTGGCCTTGAGACTAAAAGCTGACACAGAAGGAAGGTGGCCATGTGTCACCCCCATCCCACCAAGGACGAAGGAGAGAGTGGGGACACTGTCCTCCACTGTGAACTGGAGACCAGCGGGTGCCCCTGGCAGAAGAGTGATCAGACAGGTCACAGCTGAGCTGAGCTGGGCTGGTCCTCTGGCCCCTCCTCCCACAGCTCCACCCCCACCCACCAGAGAGCCACTTGCGAAATCCCTCTTGGCCTGCCACGGGTCAGTATTCCAGCTCAAGGACTTTACCCTCTTGCCCCCACTCTGGGATGAAATCAGAGGTCAGCATTGACAACGGAGCTTCAGCTCCACCTTCCCCCAATACCACACGTATGTGCACCCACACATGTACAGACAGACAGACACACACACACATTCCAGACCTCAGCTTGAGAGGGCACAGCCCCTTCCAACTCTACCTTAGTCAGAGTAAATATTTAATTAGTTAAAGAAATGGAAGTCTTTTGAACTGAAGAAAATTAAACATAATCATCCACAATGAAACTGTTCCCATACAACCATGTGTGCATGCACACACATACACACACACACTTTTTTCCTAGGAACAGTGGTAGAAAACATAGTAGAGAAGGGACAAGACAGAAGGCCGACGCGGAGGCACCTCTGGCTCTTCCTTCCCAACTCTTTGCTTAGCCCGACTGGAGGTGGGGAGTACACCGGGCCCAGTCACCTGACTCATGTGTATCTTGGAGCCCAACTTTGTCCTCTGCTGAGATCTAAAGCCAAGAGTACAGACAGGCCTAGATGTTGAGCCCCATCCCCGCACTGGTCAGTGGAGACCAGCAGGGAAGTTTCTCTTGACAGGGACATTTTTGAGGACTAAAGATTCGGAGGGGTGGGTGGAGCCCCTCGCCCTGACTCCTGTGGCCGGAGAATGTCTGTTGCTAGTCTTACTCCTACAAAGAAAGTGAAGAGCTGGGGAGGCAAGCAAAGAAAGTGTCAGAAAGTGGTCAAGGACAAGTGCATGGACAGTGCAACTACTTTAACCCCAGGAAAAGATATACCTGTGTCCTCCCAGCCTCCTGCAGGAAGGCAGATGGGCTGTGAACAAGGAAGCATGGTGTGTCAGGCGTCCAGAAACACAAATAGGGCTTGCCCGCACCTGGGCTTCAGGCTTTCTGTGACCACAGCCTTCCCTTGCTGCCCAGTCCTTTCCATTAGCAGAGGGGTAGCACCCCCTCCCCCTCCCCGGACCTAGCCCAGCAGGGGCAGACACCAGATTCAGCAAGGTCAGGGCTTCTAACTCAACATGGGGAGGGTGAGGAAGAAGAAGAGACAACAGGGGCTCCCGACGGGCCTCGAGGTGGCAGCCTCAGAGGCTTCTTGGCACCAGCACCCCAAGCCAAGCAAGGGATCCCATAAACAAAAGGCCGGGGTGAGAAAGGGCAACCTGTCCTGGGGGTAGGGAGGCGACCCGCTTTTCCAGGCCCCACTGGCCTACACGGCAATTCCTTGATTTTCTGGTAGAGAAAAATCACACCTACAAATATTTTTCCACTCACAGAATTCACTCCCCTTGCACACAGGAAGAGATGATAGGTTGTGTGTGTATGTATGTGTTTCTCTGACACACACACCTGCCTTAGAGACAGAGACACCACTTTCTGAGCCACAGGCCAGCTGGACAGGGGCCAACAGAGCAGGGATTTCATGGGCATTGGGTTACCAGGAACTTGAGCTCAGCTCAGCCCAGTCCCCACCCTTTGCCCCAACTCGGACTGACCCCTTCCACACCTGCACAGATGGATGCAAAGACACAGGGGGGTCCCTGTGGGGACTTGTAAACCCAGAGGGCCGGGAAAGCAGAAGTGTGAGTCTGTGAGAAAGGGACCCCAGAGACTCAATGTGGGAACCGTCCCACTGGTTCTCAGAGCTTGGAAGAGTAACTGAGGAAAATACAATGGGATCAGCAAGCGAGGAGAGAGTGACAAGGAGAGGGTCCCACACCAAAGCTTGAAGAACTACAAAAGTGGAGGAGGACCTGAATAGTCTTCCTTGTTGAAAATTTCCGGGCATGAAGTACAAGGCTGCGAGCAATGGATGAAGCCAAGAGGTGTCACAGCTCCAGGCTGCAGTGCAGGCCCCCAAATCAAGCTTGTCCAGGCCATCCCACCAGAAGCCCCAGCACATCCAATACCGCAGGAGACTACAGCCCCCAAGGGTGGGGAGAGGCCGGCAGGTTGAAGGGGCAGATGAGGGGAAGTGGTGAAAGGCACAGTAAAGGATCAGCCAGCCTCTGGCCAGTGACAGGGGACAAGGAGGCCCTTCCTCCCAGGGGGAAATCTGGGCAGAGGCCCCAGTGAGGGGAGTGCATTGTGAAGTACTAAGGGAGACAAGAAACTCTCTTGAAAACACAGAGCTGTGTGCAGGTCACTGTATGATTAAGGCCAGGCCCTGAGGGACGAGGATACAGACAAGACCTTATCTCTAGGAGCCCCATCACAACTGTCCTCAGCCACCTAAGCTCAGGTCCGGTTGGCCGCCCGCAAACACACATGTCGGGTGATTGCCTGCTGGAGGCCTTCCCTGCCTTGACTCCGGGAAGAGGGCTCACTCCATTCCTCAGCATCACAACCCCTGACGGGCCTGGCAACGCAGGTGACTGCAATCTGGTTTGGGGCGAGAGAGAAACCCCCGAGCTCAAGCAGAAGATTCGTGCAGCACACCTGTCATTAACCTACTTGCCAGAGAACCTCCGGGCCAATAATTAGCAAGATGCGGCAGAGAAAACCAGTTTCCCCAGCAGGTCTCCCTCCACCCCTGGCACACACACCCCATAACGGTTTAGGAGCCTTACCCTTGGGGGGCCGGGCAGAGTCTCAGAGCCACTCCTTCCTGTTTCCCGTTAAGCACATGGACGCTCTGACCTCCCTCCCGGAGTGGCCACGGCGCTCCGGTGAGACCGAACAGCAGCGAGCCCCTCCTCCCCTCCCGCTCCAGCGGCCGGGGTCGCTCAGGCCGTGGGCCACGCCGCGGCCCCTCGCCGGCCCGGGGCTCTCGCGCAAATGGTCACCAGACCTCGCTCGGCCCCTACCAGGGGCGCCCGGGGCTCGGCCCCGCATCGAGCGGCCCCGCGGCCCCCTCTGCCGGCCCCTACCTGTTGCCCAGAGGCCGCCCCGCGCTCGGGCGGCGCGGCCCGGAAAGTCCGGGACGCCGGGGCGCCCGCCCGGCGGTGCTGGGGCCGCTCGCGCCGGACGCCCCGGCCCCCCGCCCGCAGGCCCGGCGCCATGAGCGCGCCCGGCAGAGGCCCGAGCCTTCGGCCGCCCCGCCCGGCCGCCCCGGTCTCCTTCCCCGCGCGGGCCCCGCTCCCGCCCGGGCCGGGCCTCTCCGCGGAGCGGCGTCGGGACGGCCCCCACTCGGCCCAACTTCTGGGCGCCGCCGCCCCACCCCTGCGCGCCGCGCGCCCGAGCCCGGGTCCCCACTCACTCGGCGGCGGCGGCGGCGGCGCGGAGCTGGGCGGGCCGCGAGCCGCTGCTCCGAGTCTCCTCTCGTCCGCGCCCCGGGCCCCTCCGACTGGCTCGGCCCGCTCCTCTCCTCCCCCTTCCGCCCGCCCGCCCGCCGCTCCCTCCCTCCTTCCTCCTCCTCCCGCCGCCCGCGAGCCCAGCTGAGCCGAGGCCGAGCCCAACCTGGGGAAGAAAGGCCGCGAGCCACCCCGGGGCCGGGCGCCTGGGCGTGGGCCTGCGGCCCGGCCGCGGGCGGGGAGAGGGGGGCGGTGCGGGCTCCTCCGGCCGGCGCGTCCCCCGTGGGGGTGCGACGTCGCCCTCGGGGGCCCGCACCAGACCCGTGAGGCGCCGGGGATCGGGGCGCAGAGGGGCAGGGACGCTGCCCCCCGAGAGGCCGCCCCCAAATTCGGTCAGAGCCCGGCCGCGGCCCCCGCACCCTCCGGCCGCACCGGGCAGCGGCGGAACCGGGGCGTCTGGGCTCCCGGCGGGCGCCGCCTGGGGGCTCCCTGCCCAAGTCCAGCGCCCCTCCAGGGCCGGCCCCGCGCCGTCGCCATAAAACCCATGACGCTGACCCCCGGGAGCGGGCAGCCTCCCCCGGCCGCACACGCACCTCCGGGTACGTGGTTGAAAGAGCCAACCCCCACTTCTGTTTTCTGAAACGCATTCCAGTTTCCAACCTACATCACATTTATCCCTGTTCAAAAGCACATTAAAAAAACGTTTTTCGTTTAACCGGGTAAAATCGATATTTTAGGAAGATGCAACATGTTTACCCTTGACCCCGAACGTGGAGAGGGCACGACTAAGGCGCGTTGGAGGGTTTGTGTAGAGAGCTACCACTGAGTCGGTGGAGAGGTCACAATTTTTTAACTTGTTGAAATGTCGGCGTTTTTATACTGTCACAGTTAAAACCTCTGGTGGTGGCTTGTGGCCTGGTTTATCTAATCAAGTTCAGGTGCTCTGACAGTCCTTTTAGGAAGGAGTGTCACAGCGCCCCTCCTACACACACACACACACACACACACGCACGCACGCACGCAGTTTCAGAGCTGGCGCCTCATCACACGCTCTTTCTGGCAACGTGAAGAGACAGAAGCCGACTGACTTCCGACCTGTTTATTCGTTTGCTCTTTGCAGTGGGACCCCAGCCCAGGGCCCACCCCGTGGCCCATCTCCCCACAAAACAGCCCAGGGGACTCCGGGCCTTTTTTAGCTCCAGACCTGCCAGTTCCCAGCGACCCCTCCAGTCCTGCTTTCCCTTGCCCCAGTCTGAACACCTCCCTTATTAGCAAATCTTGTCTCTTCGGACCCTTTGGTAACCGCTCCTCCCTCAGCCTTCCAGTTCTCAAGTTCCCTCCACCTTTCTGGAGCGCCCTCCTCAGATTCCTCCTCGCCCACACGCCCACACGCCCTTTCCCAGCGGGCTTCCAGCGGCTCCTCCTAGGCCACAGCCAACCTTGGTCCCTCTCTCAGCCCTCCCTACACTTCTGTCCTACTTGGCTCCCCTCTTTTAGCTTCTGAACCCTTTCCTCAGGCAGTTTTTCTAGATGCCAGGCTTTCCCAAGGTCCCCACCAGACTTTTAAAAGGATTCCCAGACCCACAGGACTGAAGACCCGTTAACTTTTTTAAAGATAGCCATGGGGAGGGGAAGTTTGGGGGCAAATGTTAGATTGCCAAGGCCTGAGAAATAAAGATAAGAGGGTGTGTCGTCCTTCCCCCAGGAGACAAAAGAGAAAGTGGGCGGAGGAGAGAAAACCCAGCCGCAGGCAGCATAAGAATGATGCTGCCAGTTCTGTCAGCAGAACTGGGACTCCCGCTAACACACAGGCCCTAGCCGGACTAGGAGATTTTGACCACCACCCTCCTGACCCATCCCCCACTGTCCCTGGCTGGCATAGCCACACCCACAATGCCCCAAGCTGCCTGCCTTCACTGACTCACTTCCTCCACATGGCTGCTGAGGTGTCCCCGGGGGCAGAGGACACCACCCCACCACCCGGCCTTCGGCCTTTTGGGCTGGGATTAGGTACCTGGGCCACGTTTCTGGAGCTGGCAAAGACAGGACCTCAGTTGTGGAGGGCGGGTCTTCCCAGATAGATAAGGCTGCAGGAGCAATACAGAAGAAGCCTGTTTGGGTAAAGGAGTAGACTTGGCTAATGCAAGAACAGGGGGATTCAGGTGCCAGGAGTTCTGGGGAGAAAAAACTGCCAGGAGAAATTTCTTTTTTTTTTAAAGATTTTATTTATTTCTCTTTAGAGGGGAAGGGAAGGAGAGAGGGAGAGAAATATCAATGTTTGGTTGATTCTGGTGCATCCCCTGCCGGGAACTGGCCTGCAACCCAGGCATGTGCCCTGACCGGGAATCAAACTGCGATACTCTGGTTCTCAGGCCCACACTCAATCCACTGAGCTACACCAGCCAGGGCAGCCAGGAGAAATTTCTGTGTATTCTGGAATCGTTCAATGCAAGGTGCGGTCATGTGCTGCATAATGATAGTTCAGCCGAAAGGGACCACATATAGGTACCAGGTGGCCCATTTGGATTACAGTGGACCTGAAGAGTTCCTGTCACCTAGTGACTTCCTAGCCGTCTGAACATCGTCATGGTGCAAATGTTGCACAAATTGGTGAGGCTATGGTTAAGATGGTGAACAACTTTGATCGGGGAATGAATGACGACACTGGGAACTTGGAGGGGGTTCCTGCGTAACTAACTTGAGAAATTGTTAGTGCTGGAACAGGAACACACAGCTGAAGAAAAGGCAAGAGGACAGGAAACTGCAGGAGTAGAAAAAGAAGAACCCCAAAATATTCAATGAAGGGTTCAGCAGAAGCTTTTGAAGACTTCAACAAGTTCATTAAAAAGTTTGAAAACTTTGGTTTTCCTTTCCCCCCTCTGGGTCTGTTCTTCTATTCAATGAGGGTAATAAGAGCTAACTTTTTTTTATTGTTCAATTGCACTTGTCTCCATTTTCCCCCCATTTTCCCTGCCTTGCCCACCCTCTCCCACATTCAATTCTCCCCCTTCAAGTAATTGTTTTAATTTTAAAAGTTTATTAAAGGTGTTGCCTTGTGAGTTAAAAAAAAAGTTTGAAAACATGGACCCCAACACGGAAAGATTTTCATTAGCAGAGATAAATGTTCATGGTACATTATCTGTGTTAAAGAACAAAATTCAGCCCTGGTTGTGTAGTTCAGTGGATCAAACATGGGTCTGCAAACCAAACAATTGTGGTTCGATTCCCAGTCAGGGCACATGCCTGGGTTGCAGGCCAGTTCCCAGCAGGGCGCACACCAGAGGCAACCATACATTGATATTTCTCTCTCTCTCTCTCATTCCCTTCCCTTCTAAAGATAAATAAATAAAGTCTTTAAAAAATCAGCTGAGTAAATTTGAAGATCTAATTGGCTTTATTAAGGAATTCATAAATCTCATGAATGCATCGATCGGTTGCTTCCCCCACACCCTCAACTCAGGACCTTGCCATTTTGGGAGATGCCCAACCTACTGAGCCACACCGGCCAGGTCAGTGAGGGGTTTTATAAGGCAGATTACTTCACTAAAGTTCATTGGGAAATTCCAGACTGATTGATTTAAAATTCGATCCCTGGGAGAAGCTGAAACTGCAATTAAGTTTGGTTTGGTGATCTAGCTTATCAAAAATGACTCCATTTTGGCTTATTTTTTCTTTCCAAAAATCTTACAAACAAATCTATAATGAAATAAAAGGAAAAAAAAAACAAACAAGCAAAGGACATATTTTGGAAGGGTGCTGACTCCTCAAGAAGAGCCTCAGGTAGGTCTTCCAGAAGAAAGCATTGGGTTTTTTTGTTTGTTTTTCTTTAAATATATTTTATTGATTATGCCATTACAGTTGTTCTATTCCCCCTTCATTCCCCTCCACCCTGCACACCCCCTCCCCCACCATTCCCCCCTTTAGTTTATGACCATGTGTCTCAAGTTCTTTAGATTCTACATTTCCCATACTATTCTTGCCCTCCCCCTGTCTATTTTCTACCGTCTATGCTACTTATTTTCTGTACCTTAGAAGAAAGCATTGTTATCATTGGAGATGACATCTCTGTACCTGTTCTTGCCCCTCAGACCTGCCAGTGGGACAAGATGTGGGGAAGGACGGGGGGGGGGCACAGGGGTGTTAATAATGGTCCTGATCTGTGTAAGCCTAGGTTAATGTATGTGTTTGTGTCTTAGGTTTTAACAAAAAAGATTTTTAAAATTAAAATAAAATGTTTAGGGCCTGGCTCAGTGGGTTGAGTGCCAGTCTTCGAGCTGAAAGGTTGCTGGTTCGATTCCCAGCCAGGGCACATGCCTGGGTGGCAGCCAGGTCCCCGGTTGGGGGCATGCAAGAGGCAACCAATGTGTTTCTCTTGAACGTGAGTGTTTCTCTCCCTCTCTCCTTCCCTTTCACTCTCTCTAAGAATAAATAAATTAAAACAAGTTTTTAAATTAAAAAGCTTATAGAATAAGAATATAAAGAAAAATATTTTTGTACAGCTACCTATACAATATGTTTGTGTTTTAAATTAAGTGTTAGTACAAGTCAAAAGTTAAAAACAGTAAAAGCTTATAAGGTAAAAAAACAGTAAGTTATGGTTAATTTATTATTGAAGAAAGAAAACTTTTAAATAAATTGTGCAGCCTGGGTGCACAGTGTTTATAAAGCCCACGGTCGTGTGCAGTGATGTCCTAGGCCTTCACATTCACTCACCACTCACTCACTCACCCAGAGCAACGTCCAGTCCTGCAAACTCCATTCACGCTAAATGTCCTCTACAGGTGTGCGATTTTTTTATTTTTATACCAAATTTTTACTATACCTTTCCTGCGTTCAGATACACAAACACTACTGTGTAACGAGTGCCTGCAGTATTCAGTAGAGTAACCTGGTACACAGGCCTGCAGCCTCGGAGCAATAGGCTGTTCCATGCAGCCTGGGCGCGTCAGGGGCTATGCCGTCTAGGTGTGCTTAAGTGCCCTTGTGATGTTCACACGACGATAAAATCACCTGACCGCGCGTTTCTCAGAATTTATCCCCTTCATTAAGTTTTACAGAAAACCAAGACAGAGTTAAGAGTTGAAGAGGTGTCATGAGTCAACAAAGGAGGCTTTCTGTGTTCGTTCCTGTTTGTCCCCCTGTATGCCACTCAGAGAGACCCCAAATCAGCCATGCCTTGCTCTGAGTGGGAAAGAAAACACTGAGAAGGAATTAGGGGACCTTGATTCTGGTTCCAACAGCATGGCCTTGGGAAGTCACTCCGCCACCTTGAGTCAGCAACGAGAGGGTGGTAGACCAAGACATCTCTAAGATCTCCAGCTCTGGAATTCTAAAACTTAGAGGCTGGGAGTAGAAAGTGATTAGTACACTTGAAAACAACCTCAATCTGGCCCTGGAATTTAACAAAGCAGAACCAAGGGACAAAGGACGTGATACCAAGTTTCAGTGGAGCAAATGTAACATTACTCCTGGGCAAGTAGGACTGTGCTTCTGCCACGTGACTAAGGTTCTGCCTGCCTTCTCCAAATGCGGAGTTCAGCCTTGCAGATCAGCCAGGAGTCTTGTGCGGAGGTTTGGACTGGGGAAACAAGAGCTCTCTTTCTCCCTTCATTCCCCCGTAAGCCTACTTGGGATGTGTTCCCAGAAGGGACTCTGAAGGGTACAGAAAGCAAAAGGCATAGGGACTGGCTGTGGAGCCACTATACTGTGGCAACCCAGCCTAGGAAGTCGCCTGCCTGCTTCCTGAGGTCTTTCTCACTGGGCACCCTTGAGCAGATGCCTACCTCAGGCTCTTACCCTGACCTGGACTACCCACCAAGTCCACTGAGGAACCTGAGGTCT